TGATTTTTAGGGCTCCAGAAGGGTTAAAGCTCTTTGATTAAGCTTGAGGCTTCAAGGGTAAAGACAAAGGATTATGTGGGTCCGTCCACTTATATTAGAACGAAGGACAAAGGGCGGAGCAACTGAGGAAAGTGCAAGTACTGAGCAGGACCTTGGGAATCACTTCAAGGATGTCTCCAAGTGATGAATCAAGTCAATTCAGTATCACTGTCTCATCATGAAGACACGGTTCTGAATCTCCTCTTAGACTAGCGGTGTGGGATGGGATTATCAGTGCATTGCCATTCACTCTGAAAACTGGGCTCCTTGCTGGGCTCCCACCTTTGTCCCTCCTTTCCTTCCCCCATCCAGTTGTATTTGGCACAGAACCACAGCAGACTGAGCTCAGCCAATCAGCACACTGCTCCGCTCAAGTGCTGATTGGCCAAAGGGTGGCCATGTTTTCCAATCAAGCTGGTCCAGTGTGATTTTGTCCTAGGCTTCTAGAAGGCAGGAAGTCAGGCCAGAGCGGGCACAAACCAACAGAGGGAAACAGAGCCCCAGGTAGGGGAGAGGCGGGACATGTCAGTGTGGGTCCTTGCTATAGTGATAATGAAAATTCACATTAGAGCACAAATTTGCAGGAGAAAAGTTTTAATTGACAGATAAGAGAAGACAGGGAAAGATTCCAGCTTGGGTGGGAGCTAGAGGGGCACTGCCAAAGAGGGAGGCCAGCTTTTCAGGCTTAAGGTGAGCTGGGGTCTGATTGATTGTTCTCTTCCACCTGCTTGTGTAGCTTGGTTTGAATCCAGTTCATATGGAAGGGATCTCAGTCATGCAAGTCACCTTCGTATCCAAAGTGAACGTAGCCTTAGGTCAGTGGAGATTTGGGGCGTAGCTCAATGTCCCCATATTTATTATCTTGCTGCTGCTAGCCTTGAAGTGCAATGAAATAAGCTAGATAAATTTAGGGCTAATAACTCTTGTTTTACCAACTTAGACAAACACTCCCTAAATGACTAACATGTCTATAGACAGAGCTGAAAAGCTTTTGACCCAGAGTTTTGATCCACAAAATGAAGGCAAGTTTTTGTTTTTGTTAACAGTTGGGGAACTGAAGGCCCAAGGGAAGAGTAACAGTTTTTAGCAAAAAATATTTTCGGAGCCATGACTGCCTCAGAAGAAACTTACGTTTTGATAAGCAGCAGGTCAAGGGCCCGGGAGTTTGTCTCCCGACCCTTTGGAGGCCTCTGACTGTAGTGACCAGGCCAATCGCTTGGCTCTTTTTTGAAACCGAGACCACATCCTCCTCCATCCTTTCAGCTGTGAGTAGGTGAGCATGCGCTTGTGACAGTGGCTGTGAGTGTGACTGTGGCTGTGACTGTGGCTGCAGTGTGAGGACCAGGCTTCAACATAACTCTCAGACAAGAAGGTGTGGCGAAATCTCAGATGCTCCTTATAAGTGAGCAGAAGAGAATGGGGATGGCTAATGGCCGTAGGGGACTTACAGATAGAAAATAAAATTTCAAAAGCAAAGGGTCAGGCTCAGTGACCCAGGACGGGAGCCTCCTGAGTTTACTGGGACCCGGGCCATGCTGGGACCTGGAGCGCTGGGAAACCTAGCAAGCCCTCCCCTACCACCTGTTTTGTTTTGCTGAACTTCAATATACATGAACGTATGGACAACTATTTTGAAGAGAACAAGAGACTCTAGGACAGCCATTAGTGACTTTATGTTGTCCTGTCTTGAAGACCTAAATCGCATTCTTTATTCTGTTCAGATCAGTTTTATACTATGTTATTTTGTATAAATTCTCTGTATGTGGAGACATGGACAACTATTTGGAAGAAAACAAGAGCTAATATGATAGATAATGAAGATCTCAGGTAGTCTAGCTTTGAAATTTATATCTCTTACATTGCTTTCTTATGTCCTATTTTGTTTTGTTTAATTTGCCCCTTTAAAATAAAAAATTTTTTAAAAAAAGCAAAGGGCCAAGGATTTAGCTCAGTGGCCTAAGTGCCTGCCTGACAAATATGAGGTTATGATTTCATCCCTGGTACAAAAAAAAAATTGCAAAAAAGGCAATAGCTATACTTAGAAACAAACTGGAGCCGTATGTTGTTGGCACACACCTATCATCACAGCACTGTTGGAGGCTGAGGCATGAGGATCAAAAATTCTAGCTCAGCTTGAGCAACTTAATGACTTAGTGAGACCCTGCCTCAAAAAAAAAAAAAAAAAAAAAAAAAAAAAGACTGGGGATGAAGCCCAGTGCTAAGTTCCTGGGTTCAATCCCTCATACTAAAGAAACAGACCCAAGTGGGATAATCCTGGATAGAAGAAAGAATAATTTTAAAGTTCCGAGCAGGGATGTACCTGAAAGCCTACTCCCTTGACTACTCATAGTGTACAGGCAGCTTTAAAAGCAAAGTGCAGGGCCAGCGGTTTAGCTGAGCAGCATAAATGCCTACTTGGCAAATGCGAGGTCGTGAGTTCAATCCCTGGTACCAAAAACAAAACAAAAATCTGTCTCACAAGCAAAGTGCAGTGGAGTGGAGTGATGCATGCCTGTAATCTCAGCACTCGGGAGGCTGAGGTAGGAGGATCACTGTGAGTTAAGGCCAGTGTGCGCTACCTAGTTATTCTCCATCAGGCAACACTTCATGCTATAATGTAGGACAAGGGTTATGTTGGCCAGTGGAGTGAAGTTCAGCCATGGTGCCCAGGCTGGCCTCGGATTCCTGCTCATCCTCCTGCTTGCCTCAGCCTCCCCAGTGCTGGGACTGGACCCACCATACCCAGCTTACCTAAACATTGCAGTTTCAGCTTGATTTACATGGAACTTTAGTGACAGTGACTCCACTTTGATTTCTAGCCTTGTCTCTTGGGACCCATGGCAGGAGCATAGTCTAAAAAAATGACCTTCTATAATTTTCATTGAACTAAGTACAGTATATCAAACTGATGATTTTATCTTTTCTTTTAAAAAATTCTTCCCTGACACCTGACACTTCCTTCCCTACCCCACCCTCCAATCCATCCTCAAACCTACTGTATATTTTTTCTAGCACTGGGTAAACAACCCAGGGCCTTGACCATACTAGCCAAGGCCTCTGCCAGTGAGCCTCATCTCCAACCCAAACCGGATGCTTTTATTCTTTGACGCCTCTTGTGCCCATGTGCTCCTCCCTGTCTTTTTAAAACTTTTAGATATGTTTATTAGTAACACATTTGCAGCATGTATTGAGCACCTTCGTCATGGGGAGTCAGTACAGATGCATAACACATCTCATCTCACCTGTCCACAGTGTTTGCCCGAACTGGCTGATTAGGCTCCTCCCTGGTTGATGTTCTTGTCATACATTTGATGCACAACAGCCACAGGGATCTTGGTACAGTGCAAGCTCTATGAAGTCTCTGCTCTGCTTGACTTCCTCCAAGAAGTTCCTGTTTCTTTTACAATACAAGCCAAAGTCCTTGCTATGCCGCATCAGCTCCTTGATGACCTTGCTCCATCACTGTCATTGGCCTGGTGCATCCCTGTCATTGGCCTAGTGCATCCCTGCATCCAGGTCATGCCTAGCTTTCTTGACTTCTTCCCTGGCAAGACCTTTTGTGTCTCAGGACCTTTGGACATGCTGTTTTCTCTGCCTGGAAAACTCTTCTATTCTCATCTTGTCCTCATATGTGAATTCCTCCGGCATATCTGACTACCTAGATATATTCAGGTCCTATCTTCTCACCAGTAGAACTCTTATTATTTTCTTCATAACATTTGTCTCATTTCCCAATTATATATGTACTTAAGGTGTCGGACCCTCCTCCTCCTTTGGAAGGCTCCTGGGGAGCAGTCCCGCGTGGCGTGTTATGTTACTACCGGTGACACACATCTGCCCTTCTGTGGGTAGATACACGAATAACTGATGGATGGGTGGGTGGAGAGATGGCTAACGAATAAAGAAATGGGTAATGTGTGGTTGGACAACAGATGAGCGTGTGAATGAGTGATGTGTGTGTGGGTGATGGGTGGAAGAATGAGTGGAGGGATGAATGAGCGCTGGATGAAGTAGAGGCATGTTCCCTCCTGCAGAATGGTTACAGTCACTGCGTGCGAGTTCTCAGTGCTCAAGGGAAGGGCACTACCTCCCTCTTGTGTGGCTCATTTTTCCCTTCTCGCCAGGGCGGGACTATGAGTGCAGAAACCCCAGGCTGGATTGTCTACTTTGCAGCTCTCTTAATATATCCTTTGTAGGTAGGGACTTCCTCCAGCCTCCACAGGCTGGCCCGCGCCTGCGCCTCCCCAGCCGCCCCAGCCCTGACTCGAACAGGGGGCGGGGCCAGGGCGGGACCCGGATGCGGCCCCGCCCCCAGCGAACCGGAAGTTAGCGGGCTCTGTGAGAGCTGCGGGTGAGGCGGGGCTGTGGCGGACCTGCGGGGATATCGTGGCGGTGAGCCGGCGCGGCTCTTGCGGCTGGGACGGGCAGCCCCAGCGGGCGGTGGAAGCAGCCCCCGGAACGGGAAGGAAGCGGCCGTCTCACCGCGCTTCCGCTTGCGGTTTTGAGCTGGTTGGGGCAGAGCAGGCGAGGCTATCCTGGCCTGCAGCGGCGTCCGAGGGGTCCAGCGGGGGGTGGGGAGAGGAGAGGTTCAGGGTTCCCAGGGGCGGGGGCCAGGGAGTGAGGTGGTCGGGATCCCAGGCACAGTTGCAGCGGGTCTGGAATGGGTACCTGGGCGGAGGAGGAGCTCGCATGGAGTGGGTCAGGGCTCTGGGGCGCAGGGGCCTGGAGACCGAGGTGCTGGGGCTCCCGGGAACTAGGAGGTGTAGGTCTGAGGGGGAGGGGCTCGCGGGGCAGGGGTCCAGAACCCCGGGGAGGGACCCTGCCCCTTAGGGAGGGACCCTGCCCCGTAGGTGTTCGGGATCCCAGAGGGTGGCGTAGGTGGATGGAGTCCGAGTGGAGAGGCGGGGGTCAGAAGGGCTGGGGAAGAGGTGGGGTCCTGGGAAGGGGTGGAGGTCGGAGGGCTCTGTGTGTAGGGGCCGGGCCTTGGGCGGGGGTTCGGGATCGGCCATGCGCACCTGAGGGAGGTTTGCAAATGGGGTGTGTTGCAATGCTGAGGCACAGGGGAGCTGGGTATCTCGAACAGGCCCTCCGTCCTGGGTGTGTGCCAAGGCACCAGAAAGGTGCTGGGACACGTTTCGCTTCTGTGTTTCCGTGGATGGGACTGGTCTGGCGCCACAGCGACCTTAGCCGCCCAGCTGGAGGGTTTGGGTGGGAGGGGCCCTGTTGGGGCCACTTGAGGTTGAATTTCAGTTTTTGGCCTTGCACCTGAAGTGCCTGCAGGATATGCTCAGTTTTGACCTGGCTGGGCATTCTGTCAGGGGTGTGACCCAGGAGAGCCTAACAGCTGATGCAGATAGCAGTTCTGTCCAGCTGGCCTTGCCAGGCTAGGCTAGGCTGTGGAGAGGGAGGGCTGACTAGTCCATTTCTGAACTACAGTGAGTCACCCGGTCCAGGGTCTTGAGTCAGTGCTCCTTCTCCCTCTGAGTGGGGAAAAGTATGTCAGAATAAATTGAAGAAACAAGGAAGCAGCGTTAGGTTTTAGGGACTTTGAGGTATGCAGGAGTAAAGAGCTGGGGGATACAGAGCTGTTTCTCATAGCAGGTCTCCAGTAACTGTAAGTTTATCCTGTCTAAAGATGACATCCTTTTTTTCCTTCAGTGCTGGAGTTTTTAATCCTGGGGCCTTGAGCATGCTAGGCAAGTGCTCTACTACCTTCCCAGCCTTAAAAATTTTTTTGAGACAGGGTCTTGCTAAGTTGTGCAAGCTGGCCTTAAATTTGAAATCCTCCTGCTTCAGCCTCCCCCCTGAGTAGCAGGCCTACAGGCATGTGCCACTATGACTGTTGAAAGCTGACTTTTAATGGAATCTGTTTTTAAAGCATTTTAAATTTAGAGTAAACAGACTGGTGATTCAGACATTTGACCTCCCGCATGCAGTAGGTGCTCTGGCATGTGGTTGAATGTGTGCTTCCTCACCAGTGCCTTTAGTGCCTGAGTCGCACTGTTCCTTGACCTGGGCAACTGATAGCAGCAGACCGAATGCCCATCAGCTTGTCTTTCACTGGTGTCTGTGCCAAGCAAAGCCGCTGCTCTCCGCTTAGGCATGGCTCCTATGAACCCAAAGGATGTGCTCTGGGGTAAGAGACTTCCTCTGAGTAAGACTGGGCCTTGTGACATCTACTGTGGCTGCACAGATTCCTTTGTGCTCCCTTTGGCTTTTTCGGAGCTGTCTGCAGTGAAGTTCAGGGAAAGCCGACTCTGTCTGGATGGGTGCTTTTACCCCATCTCTTACAGCATTCTTCCCTAGCAGAGTTTTTCACCCTGTTTATATAAGGCAGGATTACTTCGTCTCTCCACACTCTTCGTGTGTGTTGAGGGGGGGGGGTTGCTTTTTGTTTTTTTTTTGCAAGAGAAGTTTGTATCAAAGGTGTTTGGTGACAGTCTTATCTTTGAACAGTAATTTTTTGTAACAGTTTTAATGAAATATAATTTGCATGCCATACCGAGTATATGTCACCCATTCAGAGTATATAAATCAGTGGTTTTCATTCTATTCCCAGAGTTGTGTGGCTCTCCTGGCTACGCACTTTGGAACTATGTCATTAACTCAGCAATCCTAGACTGGCCGCTCCTGTTGTCCCAGCTGCTCAGGAGGATGCAGGACTGCTTGAGCCCAGCAGTTGGAGGCCAACCTGTGCAACATAGCCAGAGCCTCTCTTTGTGATTTTCAAAAAAAAACCCTGTACCTCAGCCATCATTTCCCAGTCTCCCCTTCCTCTAGTCCAGGGTAACCGTTATTGTACTTTTTGTCTCTGTAGGTTTGCCAACTCTAGATGTTTCATATAAATGGAATCATATTACTTTACTGTATGTGGTTTTTTGTGCCTTCATTCACATTGTAGCATGTATTATAACTTGATTCCTTTTTATGGATGAATACTATTCTACTTGGTAACTGTAGCACATGTTATACATCTGTTTGTCCCCTGATGGACATTTGGATTATTTCTAATTCTTGGCGATTATGAATAATGATGTTGTGAATATTCATGTACAAGTCTTTATATGAACTTATGCATTGATTTCTTTAGAGTATATACTTAGAAGTAGAATCTCTATGTCATATGGTAGCTGTTTAACCTTTCCAAGAACTGCGTGTTTTCCATTTCCAGCAGGACTGTAGGAGGGTTCTAATTCTCTTATTACTATTTTTTTTTTTTTTTGATGCAGTTTTGGGGATTAAACCCATCAGGGCCTCACATAGCTCAGCATGTTTTATACCACTGACCTACATCCCGAGCCTCCCCTCGGGGCCCTGCCCGACTTTTTTTTTTTTTTAAATAAGGTAGGAATCTCTCGGTCTTTCCCAGGCCAATGTTGAACTCCAAACTCACATGAGCCTCCTGCCTGAGCATTTTGGAATGCTGGACCTAGAGGGCTACTGTGCCCAGCTCCTTTATCTGTTATTAAATGTTTGTTTGTTTTGTTTTATTCATTTTTTTTTTTTTTTGAGTTAGAGCCTTACTGTGTAGTTCACACTGGCCTTGAACTCACTGTGTAGGCCAGGCGGGCCCCAAACTTGTCATGATCCTCCTTCCTCAGCCTCCCCAGTGCTGGGATTACAGGCATGTGCCTCCACGCAGAGTAATAGGTTTTGTTGATGAAGTCTTTTCCTACACTGTGTCTTTAAGAGTTCTACCTGTTCTTTCTTCCAGCAGATTTAGTGTTTCTGTTTTAATATTGAGATCCTTGATCCATTTTGATTTTAACATCTGGGAAGTTCTTGTCATGTTTGGGCATCTTGAGGAGGATCAAGGTGGTTCTCATTTGAGGGGCATTGTATAGGTCCTGCCCACCTGGTGGCAGATGGGTCTTCGCCTAGAGGGGAAGGCAGGAGTCACATGTAGAGCTTGGAGAGCAGTGCACCATCATCCCTCTCACTGCCATCTGGGATGTGACCTTTAAACCTAGGAGAGCTGGAATGGTAGCTCTGGAAGGAGGTTCTCAGGCCGGGAAGGGCTTTTGTCCAGGAAACACAAGCTGCAAGAGCTTGTGTAGAGCCGGCGTAGGGAGCGTTGGAAGTTCTCAGTTCAGATCGGGGCACAGCTTTGGTTGGTCGAATTAAAAATTGTTTTAATTGGTACATCTCTCAGTTACTTTATAACCTCAGTGAAATTTTATGATTATTTTCATTCTCTGGAAAATGCATCCATTCTTAACAATTGTTTAAAAGCCCTTAAAGGTTTGAAGTTACAGAAAACATCTTATTGGGGTCTGCAGATGTGTCAGTGTTCTCTATAACACCAAACCTTACAGAACCAACTTAAAGTGCTATGGATATAGGTGACTGCTTTCTAAGCCTCCTAACATAGGAGGAGTTGCATTTTCTATGCTGTGCATTTGCCCCAAAACATGACAAGTCAGCCCTCTACTAAATGATTTGGAACATTTATTAAATCATTAAAGTACTTGAAATCAAAGGGTGATTTTTTTTTTTTTTTTGTCTTTTTCCTTTTTATCGGTACCAGGGATTGAACTCACAACTGTCTGCTTGCAAGGCAGGCGCTATGCCTCTGAGCTAAATCCCCAGCCCAAAGGGTGATGTTTTTTAAAAGATTTACAACAAGCTGAGCTCTTAATTCTCAGTTGTTTCTATCCCTACAGCTGTCATTTATGTTTAGTGATGATGTAAGGGCGTTTGGTCATGTGGCTCCTGCCCTCCATGTGTTGCGCTGGCATCGTGGTAACCTGGGCCTGAAGGTGGCTGTGCTTACTCTGTAACCTTGGTGCTGCTCTTGCAGATGTGGAAAGCATCAGCAGCCTATGTGTCATCCATCACCTAGGATGACAGAGGAGCTGATGACTGGGAGACGGACCCTGATTTTGTGGTAGGAGTCACCAGCCTGCCTGTGCTTTGCGTTTCTTTGAAAGCGATTTTCCAGTGTTTTGTTCATGTGTGTGTTTGTGTTCACGGTCGTGGGTGTGGAGTTTACTAGTTGTTTCTCTTTCCAGAATGATGTGAATGAAAAGCACAGAGATGGGGCACCAAAACCGTGCAAGGGTCTGGGCAAGAGGATCACATCAAGTAAGAGCTTCTGCAATGCTGTCGGGAATGGGGGCCCCTCCACAGGAGGGGAACAGGCCCCAGCAGGGACATCTACTGCTGACAGCTAAGGGGGGCAGTCAGGCATCAGAGTTCCTTTTGCTTAGGGTATTGACCTAATGTTCAATCAGCAGATGAATGAATGTAAGACATGGCACCTAGGTTTAATGCATGCTTTTATGTATATGTGCTTACACGTGTAATTGGCCACCAAGTTAAAATGTCCACAGCAGACAGTTTCCTCACTTACAGTTCTGGGACTCCCACTTCTGCATCTGATGATTTTTAGGGCCCACAGTTGCCTAAGTTCTTTCTCTAAATAGGAGGCTTCTCAAATCTGAGATGTCATTGGATACTTTAGATCTTAAACACCCTCCTTTCTTTAATTATAATTATTACTATTTTTTTCCTCCCTTTTATTACTGTCTGAAAATTATGGTGCTTTGCAGGATTTAGTCGCTGGGATGTAAGAACTGAATTCCAGGCTTTGAGAAAAGCCTAGAATAGAATACAGGAGCTGTATCATTGTTTCTGATCTGGCACTATCTGAAATGCCAGCTCTGGGCAGCTTGTTTTCTCTCAGGAAGCGTGAATAAAAGGGCCTTTAAAACCATGCTCAGAGGTTGGTTTTAGGCCACACTGGTCAGGATTAGTTGTCCCTGTCCTGAATTGTAAAGGCAGCACTGCTGACCTGGTGACCTGCTTTGAAACATGGGGAAAGTTCCTGTCTTGCTTGGCCATAGTATCTGGTAGAGGAGGATTCAGTAAATCCCCTGGAAAGACAGAGCCTACATGGTGATATTTGAGAATATCACCTTTTTATTTTTTGTATTTTTTTAATGAAACAAAGTCTTACCGTGTTGCTTAGGCTGGACTTAGGTGATCGTACCGCATGGGAGCTCTTTAGTCTCGAGTGTTGGTCCCTCCTGGGCTTGCTCAGCCCACGCCTCCCACAGAACTGAGTTGAGAAGTCAGAAGGCTAGCAGAGGGGATGAGATAGTGCTGGCAGGAGCACCTGCCCCAGGCTGTTTGCCACGGGGTTACACAGAATCCCAAGTTGGTTAGGTCATCTGGACCTCTTCTATTCTTGGTGGCCTCAGCCTGTTGGGCAGGGAGTATGGACTGTCTGGGATGCCAGCATCTGGATGAATTAAGGTCCCATGAGGAAAGTGTGGGGATGAGATCGTTCTTAGCACCCTGCGGCTCTTCCCAGGGTTCTGGAAGGACTCTTTTTCTCTTGCTCATGGAGGGTCAGGTAATTTCCAGGCCTGGTATGTATTTTAGCCACATTCTTGTGATGATTGTCTTTGTGTTGATGGTGTGGGCCTTGCATCTTCCGGGCAGAAGGGCTGCATGCCCAGGTGGCTGTTGTGCTGCTCTGGTTCTCATGGTGACAGCTCCTTCCTGGCCTGCCAGATTTTGACTAAATCTTGTGATGTGCTTCCTGCCTTTCTGTATTTAAAATGAAAAGTGACTCTTTGGTGATAAATTCTAAATGTCTGTCTTGACGGGTATACAATGCTTGAGTACCTTAAGTAAAGACAGACTGTCAGTACTAGGTATCTTGGAGGCCTTGGGGATCTGGAGGAAGGGACCTTGACTTTATTCCCTCTTCTGCCTCCTGATGGTGTTTGCAGGACTTGTGTTCCTAACCCATTTGTCTACTAAAATTAGCGGCCTTTTTCCAAATGAAATGGAGTTCAGGTTTTAACTGGGTACCTTTGGGCCAGAGTTGGATGAGGCCACGGTGTGCATTTGGTGCAGCGTTCCTCCTCCCATCCATTTCTTCCCAAGAGCCGCTGAGGTGGATGTCCCAGCTGTCAGGATAGTCAGGAAGGTATATAAAAGGTAGACAGTTGGTAAGCGCCAAACAAAGGAAAGCTTTCAAGTTTGCAAAGGTGATTTTGCCTGTCTTTATTTATCCCATTGCAAAGCAAGGATGTACATCGTTTTAGAGTTTTTTCTCTTTGTTGTTACCTTTCGTAAGTATACACAAGCTAAGAGAGAACGTCTTTCAAGAACATCAGACTCTCAAGGAGAAGGCACTTGAGCCAGGACCAAAGCCTCCCATGGCTATGGGGGAAATTGGGCGCGGAACAAGACAGAATGGACAAAGTAAGTGGGCGACAGCTATCTGTGCTGGGCACCTGGCTGTGTGGGCTGCTTGTGGTGGGCCAAGTAGTCCTCACGTTTTTTCTTTAGAGTAAATGTGTCAAGTTGGTTTGTCAGGGGTGAAATCTGCTCAAAGTGGGCCTCTGTCAACTGACCCCACTCACAAAGCTGTCTGGCTTTTTATTTATTTATTTATTATTATTATTATTTTTTCCTTTTTTTTGTTTGATCTTTTTCCTCTTTATCGGTACCAGGGATCGAACTCACAACTGCCTGCTTGCAAGGCAGGTGCTTATGCTGCTGAGCTAAATCCCCAGCCCCCTCTCTGGCTTTTTAGAGGTGTTTTGGAAGTTCGGAGAGGTGCTGGCAAATGGCAGATGTGTAGAGAGACCCTGAGGGGAGATTAGCTCAACTTTGTAAATGGGACAAAGTCCAGAAACAGCTGAGCTTCAGATGTCCTAGTCAGCACTGCCTGTGGTTCCGGCTTATGGCCCAAGTTACTTATTTCATAGAATAAACCATACCTGTGGGCCCCTTATCACATCATTCCTGGAAATTGTGCTAGCATGTAGCTGACGTCCCATGTGGCTTTACTGACCTGTGCACGTAACATCAGCACCATCCAGGTGGCTCCTGTGAGCAGTCCGTGATGGGGCCAGTCTGCAGACATCGAGCAGATGCTCATGGTAGCTGCTGATGAGCACAGCCACTTTTACGGCACTGCATGTTGTTCCACATAAGAGCAGGCGAGTGTTAGCTCGAGACCGCTGGCTGGTTTCTTCCTGGAGAAAAAACAGTGCAGATAGCAGCACATTTGCACATCTGTCGTAAAACAAGGCTGAGTTTTGCAGACAGCCTTGCAGCAGTGAATTTTCAGGTCTGAGCAACATGGTATTGTTCAGACCGGACAGGTGTGTTGCGTGTACTGTGGACAGAGGTGAAAAGATGAGCTGGGGTTAGATTCTGGAGGGTAATTCCATACCGCTCCTTCTGTTGCATGGATCGAATTAAACATTTGAGCTGGGCATGGAATGTCAAAGCTGTGTCAGAGTGAACCAGATATCACTCCACCAGCAGATCAGACTGGGCTATGGGGGTGGGCTGGGAGCACCCTAACCACATCCAGAAATAACATGAAGCTGGAGGCTGACTAGGTGCCATCTGCAGGAAAGAGACATGGACATTTGCTGTGTCACTTGTGCTTCTCCCACAGAGATGTCCTAATGCTGAAATAGGTAGTGTGTGCAAAAGAATCTCCTGGGGCTCTGGATCCGAGTCTGGTAGGTAGCCTTTCAAAGCAGCAGAGCAAAGTGGCAGACAGAACCTTCCATCCAGTAGGTGGCTAGGCTTGTGCTCACTGGGGGTCATGGGGTGTTAGTGCAAAGAGAGGCTGACTCTGGAAATTGGGCCCCCAGTTAGGGTTAGGGAAAATGATCCCAGTTTATCCAGCACGAGTCTGATTTAAAATGATTTCCCTGCTATTTCTTGGTCTGTGTCTGTTGTTGGCCTGAGTCCTGCTCTTCCTTGAACCTCCAGCTTGGGCTTTTTCTAGCCCGGAAGCTTCCCTAAAGAGCCCGTCTCTTCCTTCTGCCTCACCTTCCCACCCTGTGGCTCCTCCTTCATGCTGGCCTTGGCTTCGCTGTCAGCTGTTGCTGCCACATTGTTCTGTGGTTTGCAGTGAGACTCTTCTCTGGCCTGCTTCTCAGGGCCAGCACTCATCATTCTTACCTGTGGGTGGCTTGGTGTTGTGCAGGGTGCTCAGGGACTTGTGGTGAGTGTAGAGAATCACGTTTTGTGGCCGACACACACACACACACACACACACACACACACACACACACACACGCAGGTCCTGCTGGCTCAAAGAATCACTCACTCACTTCTGAGTGGGGCTGATAATAATCCTGCAGCAATGGACCTGGAGAGGGGCGTTGCTTCTGCTGCTTCTTAGTGCTGTTGTTTTCTGGGCCTACATATCTAAGAATAGTCAGCTTTCAGCTCACATGAGCACCATGAGACCAGCCTGTTTTCAGAAAGAACTTACAGTTAACCTGGGAATAAGTGCTTAAACTCTTTGTAACTTGTCCTGTCTAGAATCTGGATAAATATAAGTGAGGTCCTTCCTTGTGCAAAGAATTGAGGAACTTGTGACACACACTGTCAGAATCATATTTTGAGCAAGCACAAGAGCGGTCAGGTCTTTGGTTTTGCCATTTTCTGAGCACATGGCCAGCTTCTGGCTTCCTGTTTCTCTGGTTTCTGTTGCTTCCTATACCTCAGCCTTCGAGATGGAGCTCCACTTGCACAGCTGTGTAATAGCAAGTGTGATTCTGCCAGTAGAAGATTAAAGATGCTTTAGGAGCATGTCTGTTTCAGTCAGAAAGCTGTAGCTGTTGCCAAATATAATTATCCTGGCTGTATTTTTAGGGTTCTTTTCATGTAACTTTCTGATTAAAAGTCGTGCTGGAGAATCCCTTTGTCATAGTGGCCTCTTGCCACTCCCTCACTGACATTTTGTGAGATCCTAGAGGCCATGCATGGGGTGTGTTATGGTTTATGTCAGGATCCCCCCCCCCCCCCAGAGCCTCATGCAGTCATAGGGTTTGTTTTGGAAGTGACTGTATCTAGAGTGTGTGATGCTGGGATACTATGAGGCTGTGTGATACTGGTTGGTTTGACAGCGCCCTAATCCTAGCAGCCTAGAGTATAAAAGGGTCAGAAAGATGCTATTAAGGCTGCTTGCTTGATTTAGCTATCTTCTGCTGCTCTGAACTGTTGCCCCTGTGCCATGTGCAATCCTTTCTTGGAACCAGCTATGGACTGAAACCTGTACAATCTGTGAGCTTTCTTCCTTTTACTTTGGGTGTCGGGTATTTTATCTCAGCAACAAGAAAAATAACTTAAGATTGGCCACGTGCCGAGCCTCATTGATGTGTTGAACGCTGCCAAAGTGGCTAGACCCTGCATCTGCCAGGTAATCTGGCATAGGTGGCTAAGATCAGGATGTGTACCAATGGGGAGTGGGCATATGTGTTTGAATGTGTGTGTGTCCTTCCCATATCTGTCACTGTGTTGCCTGTGCTTAGCACCCTTGGAGGGTTCCAGGGGACTATGCACTGTGGGATTAGCTCTGGAAGCCTGGGTCTTAACTGTGTTCAACATGGGGAACCATTGGGCCCAAGACAGCATTGTGGTCACAGGATCTGTCAAGGTGGCTGCACTGGGTGGAAGAATCATAGACACAACCAGAGACACTGTGCTGGTGAAGAGACACAGCTGGGTTCCCAAGAATGTCATTGCTGGAGGGGGCTGCTCTTGAGGCTGGGGTTTGCAGACCTCAAGGTGAAGCATGCCAAGACCCCAGACTCTGCTTCCTTACTTTACTACCTGGTGGACAGGTGACATACAGAGGATTCCTGAACTTGTGCTCCCAGTATGATGGGGGCTGACAGTGTTGGTGACTGCGACCCTGGAGTGAGCCAGTTTGGGTGACAACAGCTGGTACCCTGTCTACATAGTATGCATACTTCGGTGTTGATTCTGAGTCTGCATTATTACTAAAATAGACCTTTCTATGCTTTAGTGTATTGACAAAATAAATATTTTTTGTCCTGATTTGTAGTTCTTATAGTATGAAAAAGCCTTTTTTCAAGAGAGTAAATGTATTGCCAGTAATGTCCATGTAAACAGCTCTTCGGAATTGTGTGGTCAGCTGCCAGCATCTTTTTTTTCCCATGCCCTCTTGCATCCGAAGCTCCACTATGGGTGAGGGTTTGTGGTGTGGGAGCCCTGCAGCTGTATTGGAGGAGCCCTGCACCAGGGACTCGATGGCTCAGACTGCATTTCCTCCCAGGATTCCCACCGTGGTTGCGTGGAGGAAATGCCTGCACGTGGGTTGTTAGTGTTGCGCTAGGCGTGAGTCTGTGGTATTTTATTTTTGTACTCTCTTCCAGTCAGCTGTTGGCTATGAATATCAGTTGAAACTTGCTAAGCACTGCTCTCAAGTCGACTGGGTCTGGGGTTTTGGAAGCTAGTTTGGTGTCCAGATGGACAGAGTTGACCAGGTGAGTGATGGGCACAATAAGTGACCCCGAGTTCTGCTGAGCACAGTGCCTTCCACCCCAGATTGTGCTGGTGTGGTGTGTGTCCTTTGGGTCACTTGTAGCAGTGTGCTGGGAGGGATGTCTAGAGAAGAGCCGGAGGCCTCTTCCCCGGGGTGCTCTGGGAAGCTGAGCCAGCTGGGTGAGGAAGGGGGTAGTAGCATGTAATGAAAGGCCTTTGTCGCATGGGCTTTGGGATCTCTGTGTTGCTGTCTACTTACCAGATGGACTGGGGTCCCAGTTTCAGTGCCCAGGGCATAGAACACCCTTAGATTTATTGCCTAAGAATGTGCCAATTGGGACCCTCCCAGCCATTTCCCTTCATAAATGTCACTGTGGCAAGTGCAGCTCAGAGTTCTTCCTGTGGAGCCCTCGTTTTCAGGGCTGCAGGCTGGGTCCAGATGTTCTGGCAGGTTCAGGCTTGAGCCTGTTCTGATTCCCTTTGGATCAGGGCCATCAGCCCCTTCCTTCATTTTGTTTCCTGGCAGGCAGTGGCCTGGATTTGGACAGGCCTCAGTCTGTGTTCTGACTTCTTGACATGCTAGCTGTCTTGGAATTTCTATTCAAGTGAAATGGGAGTCATGGTAATCCCTAGCTCGTGGGGCTCTGTGGGAAGCAGAGCACATAGTATGCCCATATGCCCACCGTGGTGCCTGACTCATGCTGCTGCTATTAGTATTCATTTTGTTCTTCGGATAGGTTATGTGAAGAATGCGTTTCTGTGTGGCACAGAGAATTGTTCCAGATGGGGATTATGTGGCTATAATACATTAGCTGAGCCTGATGTGGAGCAGCCTTCTGGGAAGGAAGCCAAGTTGCCCTGGGTGTGCTTGACTGTGGTGCCCGCCAGACTGTGAAAGTGTTTTTTTTTTATTTCCAGCAGAACTCCAATTGAACCCACAGCCTTGCACACTCTAGGCAAGCACTTTACTACAGAGCTGTACTCCCATCCCAAATTTATTGATTCATTCATTCATTCTTTAAGAAGGCTGCATTTCATCTTCACGCTGGTAGACTGTTGGATCTTCATGCCAGCGAACTGTTGCAGGATAATTCCACAAAAGCAATACTCCTGAGTTTACAGAGAGCTTAGTTTATATATAATTTAGAAGTGGGCGATACAAAGCAAGTAACAAAATGTTACATACTTGGCTACATGCACTGAGTTGTATTGTGACAGGTAGGCTAGTCTGGACCAGATTTGATGAAACAAAGCAATTGTTTATAATAATATAGAAACACTCTGGGCACAAGAGGAGTGGTCCTTTACTGGGTGAGCATAGGTAAAGGCAGCCCTTTTTATCACATGTGGATTTCCAGATTATCAGACTGGTTTTGGAGGCAAATTTTGTGTTCAGTTCGAGTGGCAGGACTCCTTTGCTGTGGGACTCCTGATTACAAGGAGAGACTGGCCAAGCACGCATCCCAGCAAGGCACAGTCCCCACCCCCCGCCTCTTCCCTCACTCCCTTGCGGTGCAGCCACTTCCAGCACAGGCTTCAGGGTTCACCTCGGTGCTGCAGCAGGCTCTCCTGCTCACCAGCTGTCAGAGCATTGGGCATCCTCAACCCATTGAAACTAAGTTCCCTTTTTTCTCATTCTCTTTTTTCCCCCTTTTGACCTTTCAGGGGAAAGTTGGGGTAGAAATGATAGTTCACAGGTTATGAACTCCAACCCCTCTATCTGGTTTCTGGGCTGGTCTCCTAACAGCCTTCTGCACATTTGCTTGCTTTTGACCACGACTTCTTGGGTCATCGTGCCAGGCCTGTTGCCTCTGAGGTTAGGAGAGAGAGAGTGGCAGTGGTGCCTTTTAGACAGGGGTGGGTAGTTTTGTTTGTTCTGTTTTTTTTTTGCCCTGTGACACCACCCATGTGTAGGAGCTTCACTTGGAGCCACACAGTGTGTACACAGAGCTGGAAAGTAACCTTTTTGGGGCCACACACTGAAATTCCAGATAGTTGACGCATATTCCTTAGAGTAGTCACACTGTCCATCAACGTTCTCCAACAGAGGCCTTGGTTACTAGAACCTGGACCCATCACTGGGTGAACGGTGATGTCCAACAGTGAAGGGCAGAGTGCAGGCTTGTAGGGTAGTGAATGCACTGGGCCTGATCCCGAAGACTGCATGGAGAGGGCTTTCAGGTCTCAGCAGCATTGAGACTGCATGACAGTGTGACTTTCATGTGGATGTGTGTTGCTGCAGCAGAGATATTTGGCTGGTAGGATGTCCACATGGAGTATTTTCTTTCTTTTAAAATGCAAGAAAACAAACTGCGACTGAGCCTCTATTTAGTGCTGAGTAGAGCGGGCTCATGGGAAACAGATGAGCATAAACCCCATGGCTGATATGGAAGACTGCTGGTGAAGTGGCACATAGCAAAGGCCTGTCCTGTGCCCCTTCTTGGCTTAGTTCTTCCCAGCCTGCTGCCGGTCCCCGCCCTTTCCCCAGGAGAATGCCAGAAGCGTGCCCACGCCTGTCTTGCTCCGTGCCTGTGCACTGGACACTGTGGTCAGACGCAACATGCCTGGCCCGGAAAGCCTGTCTAGTGGTGTTCCTTGGTTCTTTCTGCCAGGGTGCATTTCCTTGGGCTGTTTGAGACCTGTCTGCATGCACCTGTGGTCATCTTGGACTGGGCCTGTCCTTTGCCTCAGAGTAAATCTTGTGATTTGTCACCTTCAGACTATTCCAAAGGATTCAGTGGCAAGTACAGGGTGCAGAAAGATAAGATGGATAGGGAAAGGCTGTGCAGCTCCAGGTGTAGAACTTTCTGCCGGCAGGCCCAGGGATTCCTGCAGCCCCCACTCTGTGTCAGTTGCTGTTTGTAGCTACCATCAGGCAGGCACTGTGCTCATGGTTCTGGCTGTCCATCCACGCAGCCTGGTGTATGTCACTAAGGCAGCAGTGGGCTGGATCCCAGTCGAGGGTCTGAACTAGCCAGTCTGAGTGCTTGTCCATAGCGTGGCAGTGAGGGAGCTGTCACTGGATCATACTGCTATTTGAACTTTGATTATGAATGATAAATCAGGCTGGGAATTGAGTTTTATGTGAGACCATTTGTAGGGTCATCCTGCCCTTGGTTATAGTGGTGGGTGGCATGGTGGAGCCTTAGAGCTCTGCTCCTATGCAGCTTGTGGCTGACCTCACAGACAGCCTCTCCTCGGGCACTTCCCCATGTCACCAGGGTCCATGGGAGAACCCTGGGGCACACCGCACAGGCCGAGGGGTCTGGGGAAAAGGGAAGAGTTTGTTAGGAAAGTCAGGGCCAGGAGACTGCAGAGCAGAGGACACAGCGTATGTCTTGGTGTGGGGGATTGAGGGATCCCTGCAGAGGCTGGAGAAGGGAGCTGCACAAACCATGTGCGGTCCTCAAGTTGTTACATGGACTCTGGAGCCCTGGATGGGCTTAGCAGGCAGAGGACAAGAGTGGCATCTGCCCTGAATAGCCCCTGCCTGCATTGTGGGAGATGGTCTAAGGATGCTGTGGGGAGGTGGTCCCAGAGGCCTGAATAAGGTGTTATCTTAGGCTGCAGTCACAAGGGGACATGCATCTGATGTCATAGATGTAAAGGTGGCAAGTGGCTGGGCTGGGGTTTGTCTTCAAGGGCCCAGGAGGAGGGAGGAGCCAAGTGGCCAGTGGGATGACTGTGGAGCTAGAGAACTTGGGTGAGCATGTATAATAAGTGCTTGTGATGCCTGGAGTTCCTCCAGTTCAGGGCTGCACCTGTCTGATGGCAGTGGTCAGGTCAGAGGATGCTGGGCAAGGAGGTTCTTCGAGGTGGTAGCAGGGAACCCCAGGAAGTCTCTGGTGGCTGGGCCCCTGGGACAGGAGGACGGAAGGAGCTAATGAGCGAGGGAGTCAGAAGTTGTGGCTCTGCGGTTGGGAGTTGAGGAAGTTTCTGTCTCTTGTCTGTCGTGGGTGCCATTCGTAACCAATGACTGCTGGGCTTGCACACACCATAGAAATAAGCATTCGAAGCTGACATTGCATCTTGTAACCCTGTGCATGAGGCATCATGATTCCCCCTTGTAACTGTTATTCTGTCATGGAGCCCAGTGCTTTCTAAGTGAGGCCACTGCCCAGGGCCCAGGCTGTGCTATGAGGCCATCCTGAAAACGATGGGTCGCTGAGGACTCGAGTCTGCAGTTGTCCCTGTGGTGATGGAGATGAGCGAGAGGCCAGTGACCTTCCGTTTTGGAAATGCCAGCTGTTATGGTTTGAAAACTGGTGGTCAACTTAACGCCAGCTGGATTACATCAGCATGCATTGAGAGAAGATGCTCCACCTGAGGAGGGTTTCCAGGATAAATAGGTGGTGAAGAAGAGAGGTATGGAAAAGGATTGAGGCGTTATGGAGGCATTGTTGATTCTCCTACGAGCTGCTGTCTGAGCTGTTGGTTCTCCTGGAGAAGCTTTGGTCTTCACATCGAGCATTGCTTCCTGGCTCCGGAGGGGAAGACATGTGCTGCCTGGTCTCCAGGATGAACTTGTCACATGGCTTCCTGGCACGTACCCGACTGTGCTTGTCGTCGGGGGAGCTCGGGGTCTCCGTGTTGCTGAGGACAGCTGTGGTTCCTTTCAGGACAGTCCCGCTCTTTGTTGTGAGTGTGACTTCTCAGCTCCAGTGTAGAACCCTCATCCCACTAGCACAGCTCCTTCATCCTGCTGGCATAGACTTTCTGGCTTCCACCGCTTACCCTTGGGTCTTCCCGGCACGAATCTGTAAAAGAGACTGGCGTGAGTCCTTGTGGGCCCTGGACTTCCAGTTGGACTCGTGGAGGTGTTGTCCTGAGCTGTGGGTTTTTATCTGGACTCATGTGGGACATTGCCATGGGGTTTAGGCTCTTGAATAAATAATCTATGTCGTTGGTGTTGTGGATAGATTTCCTGCATTCTCCGGTGTTAACTTCCGGTGACCATTATAAAAATATTATAAACTCCATGTCCTGATCTGAATTGTTCTCTGTGTACAACCTCAGACTACAACACCAGCCTATCCTGTCTTGACAAGTTTGGCTGTGATAGGCATGAGGGGATCAAGGGCAAGAGTAGTTGCCCTTGTGAATGTTGGAGCCAGGCCAGACAGGACAAGGAGGATGGAGCAAGGTTTATGTGGGTAGGAAGGTGGCAAGTGCGAGAGGCTGTGGTCTGTAGGCAGTCATAGGCTGGAGGGTAGCTCAGTGGAAGGATGCTTGCGTCCCACGTATAGATTGGCTTCCCTTTCCAGCATGCAGAGCAGAGGTGGGTCTTGGTGATGGAGTCACTGTGAGGAAGGCTGAGCGCAGGGATGGTGTGGGAGGTGATGTGGATGGGGAGTGGATGTGGACAGAGAGATGGCCCCTGCCTGAGCAGCAAGCCAGAGGTCTCCACTGCAGGCAGTGGGATGACCGGACTCAAGTCACTCTCCCAAAGCAGAGGGCAGGAACCAAGATAGTGCCTCACTGTCTGAGGCTACAGGGCAGACAGGAGGCTACAGGGCAGGCAGGAGTTCCCTGGACAGCTGAGCAGGGATTGTTCTGGAAGAGGTGACAGACTGTCTAGGGTCAGTGGGTTTGGTAGGAAGGAAGGGTTTAGTCAGGAAAGCTAAGCAGCCAAAGCTTAGACTCAGAAGAGGTAAGTCTAGGCTGAAGGCCCCTAGAAGCCATAGAGCTGGATCTGTTGGGCATGGCGGTTAGGAGGGCAGAGGACAGGTGGACAAGGGACCGGTGACTGCTCTGGCCAAGGTGGAAGTCCTTTGGGATGGGCTTTTGGGCTCCCCTGTGAAAGGACAGGTACAGCAGAGGATGTACCTGTCCAGGGTATACGTGAGCCAGACTCCTATCTGGTCTCCTGTGGGCAGTTGGAACCCCCTGTCCCTGTGCCTCGGGGAATTGTGATTTTGCTTCCTCGAGGGCCTGCCCCTTTGGGCTGCCCTCTAGTGTGCCATGTGGGGAAGCAGTGAGCATCCTGAGCCAGAGCACGGTGTTCCCATCAACAGTGGTGCAACTCCCAAAGGAACTGGGGACAGTCATTAGTTTCTAAGGACCCCATCAGCCTGTGCTAGGTCCTGCAGTTTAGGGCCTGATGTCACAGCAGGTTCCCTGGGGCATAGCTGAGAGCCCAGTTGAAATAAAGTGGTGGCATCGCATTACGGAGCCACATGGAGCATCTGGCCAGGCAGGCCTGTGTGTCCTGAGGACCCGTCCTCAGAGAGCAGAGGCTTTTAGGCAGAGCGGGGGCAGGCTTGATCAGGCTTGAGCAGCACAGAGGTGGCTTGTCCCTGAACAGGTGGATGTGACACTGACTAATTGTTGGCGGTGTGTGTGGCTGTATCGCTGTGATCTGCAGGAAACAGTGTCAGAGTCTTAGGCTGCCTGATCTGTTGAGGGATCTGGAGAGGCTCTAGTATTTCCCCAGGTAGGGAGGGGCAGAGGAACACACTTCTGATTTCTTTTTCCATCTCTGCAGAATGCATCGACCTTTGAAGATGTGGCACAGGTATCTTCTGCCTCTCAGAAGACTGTCCCTGTTGAAGCTGGTGAGTGTCACCTGCACAGCCAAAGTGCTATGTGGTCTTCTCTGGAGGAAAGTCTAGGGAAAATCCCAGGAGGAAAAGCTAGGTTGGAGAAACAGCCAGGAGCAGAGGGACATGTGTGACTGCTCCCAGAGCCCCGTCCCCTACATTGCAGGGACCCTGGAGACACAGTTAACCCCTCTTTGCTTTGGAAAGTATCTCTCACAACAGAGCCTACACCAGAGTCCCAGCACCCTGTGAATGGGGGTCCACTTAAAACTGGGAAGCAGAAGCCCACTTTTGCTCACCTGAGAGGAAATATCTGCCAGTAGGCGGCGTGTGCCCAGAACCCCAGCACTCAGAGCCTGAGGCAGGAGAATTGCAAGTTCAAGTGTGTCAAGTGCATGCCTATGATCTTGCCTTGTCCCTGACATGCTAACCTGCCTGACGACTCGTGTCCTCTCCCCAGGCTCCTGGCTCCCCCTTCACTGTGGCCCATGGTCCATTTCCTGTTTCCCCCATAACCACTCTGGGCTACACATTTCTTCTTTCATCTAAATAGCACTTTGTGTCAGTGAATTGTAACTGCTGAAGACTTAAGACACAAGGAGGTTACAGACCCAGGAAAGCTATGGAGATGCACAGGGCCGGGGCTGGGTATTCCTGGTCTCGCTCCCAAATCCAGTGAAAGCCAGGCCTCCCAGCAGCATCCTGCAAGTGCCATTCCTGACTAGCACCTGCCTTCTTTTTGGTGACCCACAGGGGGCACCTGGTCAGAAACACTGGAGCCAATGTTAATGTGTACTTCAGGATGCCTGTTAGAGCTCAGAAGTCATATGGTTTTTTGTTTTAATTAAAAAAATTTTTAGTCATGCAGTTTTAAATTATAAGGTGTATATTTCCTCTGAGTACCTTTGTCTTTGAATGTGGTTCTTTCTGTGGTTCCCTTGCCTCACTCTGCGTGGAGAATTTGGTTAGAAGACAACCTTGTTGCCCAACAGTGTGGCTGCCCCAGGCAGTGGGCTGGGTGAATGGGAAGCTGCTGGCTGGTGCTGATAGGCAGCACTGGACAGGACAGAAACCTGAGGCCTAAAATACAAACAGGCTAATTCGAACTCAGGATGAACTGACATAAGCCCTGGGGATGCAGTTTGGGGAGTGTGTGGTTCTTTTGGGTTTTTTTTTTTTTGGTTTTTTTGTTTTTTTAATTTTGCAAGGCAGGTGCTTATGCCGCTGAGCTCAATCCCCAGCCCCCGAGTGTGTGGTTCCTGGTTGGGAGAGTGGACTTCAGTTCCTTCAGGATTTGGGAGTGTTGGGGGTAACAAGGACTGGAGCTCCCTGGATGAGAGGTCAGTCAGGACTTTGAACTAATGCCTTTCTGATCCGTGTCCTTTTCCTCAATCCCAGCCGAAGCTAGGAAATAAGTCCCCATGTCTTAGGAGGCATTGACAGTGTAGCTGTGAAGTTTGTAGGTGCCAGCCCAGGCTGCAGGAAATGTCCATTTGTTCCTTTTCAGGATGCAGCCTCTTAAAGGGAGAGGTGAGCCACAGAGGTCCTGTAAGTGAGAGGGAACCCGAGCCTGCAAACTACCTTCCCACTGGCCAGCAGTTAGCAGGGCCTAGGCTATGATCCGGAAGCCGTCTATGACACCATCAAGGCTTCTGGCCATTACCAAGCAAGTACTGTGCACATGCTCCCATGCCCTTCCTGGGAATGGGGCTGTCTGAGAGACACCCCCCCCCCCAGCATTATTCCCCATGAAGAATGTGTTTAGGGTTCCTGTTTGCTCACACTCCCCACCCCCGAACTCTGTTTCCCTGTTAGAATGGCCCAAGGCACAGTGGTCTCCAGTGGCAGCAGTGGTCCTGGGAAGGTCCCTGGCATTCTGGGATACAGGGAGCGTGGGGACAGGTCTGGAGTCAGGAAACAGGCTTCTCTTACTGTGGCATTTCCTCTGGACATCAAGTGCCTGTCTGCTGTAGTGCGACCTTAAAGGTGACACTTTCTGCGGCTTGAAGATGGTGCAGGTGTTTCACTTAGGTCAGTGTGGCGAACCTATAGCATGCCTGCTGCAGTGGGTATGTGCAGAGCCCTCTCTTGGCACACAATCCAAGTCCCACCAGAAACCGAGCATCGATTTAGGTTATTTTTGTAAACTAAAACCTCGGTATTCATTTTTAATTGCAGTGTTTCCACTTTTTGATACATAAGTGGGTTTTGTGTTACAGTTTGAGTAGTTAGTTGGTCTCCAAAAGGTTTTCCACCACTGACCTAGGTGAACACTGCAGATCGGCTTGTTGTCCTTTAATACTGACGTTTCCTGTAGTACACCAGGTCCAGCACAGACCCCTTATCCCACGTGGAGCATTGTGGTCGGTATGGAGGGCAGGAGCCACTTGGGCTGAGAACACACGTGAGGGAGACAAAGCCTCTTACCTTGAGAGCGTCACAGGCATCGATTGCCCTGCCCCTTCTCTCATTCACTTCCCTGATGATGCTAGATATTTTGCATTTTAAATGTTATACTCTAAAAATGGTCCTGATACTTGCCAGGAGAGCCATGTTCCTAATTTTCTGCATGTGTGCATGTGTGCATGTGTGCATGTACTTAACCACTTCAGTTACATTTATTGTCAGAACCATTGGGGAGCTGCAAGGTCCCCATTGACCCTAAAAACCACATTTGATGTGATGGCACGTACCTATAATCCTGGCTGTTTGGGAGACCAAAACAGGAGGAGTGCAAATGTGAACCCCGTCTGGGTCAGTTAGCAAAACCCTGTCTCTAAAGAAATAGAAGTGTTGGGGATGGAGCTCTGATCCGCCTGCAGGTGGCCCCCATTCCCTCCCTAGTATTACAAAAGGACCGAAAATAAAACTGGAAAACTGCACTGTGTGTTACCAGGACATCCAGAGTCTCATGTGAGTGCTTCCAGCACTCTCCACCCTTTGGGAGGTCCCTTGTGCACACGACACACCCCTCAGCGTTGGTCGTGTTTGGCCCTGTTCCTGGGCCGTGTTCTTCTACAGTTGGCCAGGGCCCAGCAGAGGCGGTGCTCGCGTGGGACAAAGGCCAGGGATACAACTCGGTGCCTCCCTGTGCTGTTGTCTCTTTTTTTTTTTTTTTTTTTTTTTTGGTACCGAGGATTGAACTCCTGACCTTGTACTTGCCAAGCAGGCGCTTACACCACTGAGATAAATCCCAGCCCTACCCGTTACGTTATTTCTGTGGCATTGGTCACCATCACCTGCCAATCCACACCACTCCAGTAGCAGTTGATGACTGCGAGGAGCAATGGTGAGCCCCTCAGGTCCTGTCTTCTCTCAGCCTCGCTCGGCCTTCCCTGACAGTAGCTTCCCAGTTCCTCCTCCTTGCTGAGTGGGGGTGGTAAGAGGCAGCCTTTCCGTACCTGCTATTATTCATTCCCCCATCTATACATTTCTCTTATACTTTTTTCTTTGAGACAGGGTCTCTATTCGTAGTTGATGATGGCTTTGAACTCACTATGTAGCCCTTGAACTTGTGGCGTGTGACCCTCCTGTCTACGCCTCCTGACTGCTAGGAAGTCAGATGTGCACCACCATGCCCAGCAGTGCACATGTTTCTATATTTATTCTTCGATGGGGTCTCTGACCTTTTGCCATCTGTATGTATGTTTGAGTTTATCCTGTGACCTGCGTTCCAGCCCGTCACCTGGGCTTCTTTCTAGACACCTTCCTGTGTTCAGAACCACCCACCCTGACCGCCCCTCCTACATGTCCTCGTCCACTGTGCCCTGTGACTGGTGGGCACCCTTTCCTCGCTCCTCCCAGGGAAGGGGGGAAAGAAGGCGAATTTCCACCCACCCTGGCCATTTCCCAAAAACCGTGTCTGGCCAGGGTGGGCGTTTTTGGAAGACGCCGCTCACATTTGTGCACCCCAACCTTACGCTGGCTGTGGCTGCCGTGGTCTTCTTGCTGCATGCTCCTCCCAGCTGCCCTAGAAATGTTTTCCATTTGTGTCTCTCTCTCTGCTTTTTTCCCAGCAGGTGATGACGAAGTCTCCTTTGACCCCGATGACATCATCAGCGACATAGAAATAGTTGATGATGGCTGGTGGCGTGGCGTGTGCAAGTGCTGGTACGGGCTCTTCCCAGCCAACTATGTTGAGCTGCGGCAGTAGGTGGCCAGCCTGCCATGCGTGCCTGCACAGATTCACACTACAGATCACGCCTTTGCTGGTTTGGGGTTTTCGGCTTGTATTTTTGTTTTTGTTTTCTTTGAGAGTGGGGACGGGAATATGCATATTGCTTTTATATTTAATACTCCTGCTGATGCTTTTGAAAATGTTGATGCCACAGAATTTGCTAATATATTGTAATCATGATCCCTAGGAGGAGGTTAGTGATTGTTTTTGAACATTTTTTTTTTTCGCCAAATTGACTTGTCATGTGTAGCCACTTCAGGGGCCTGTGACTCTCCTGAAGTCAGTAGTGCGTGCTGTCTGTATATCTGTCATGACTGTTGGGTCTCCCAGGATTGATATCCATGTCTGCAGCACTACATAAGCTCTGTGGAGCAGCAGTTTTCAGAAGTGAAGGGAAGGCCCGGGTCAAGGGTCAGACTGGTGGGAATCCCTGGAGGGCCACTGGCTCCCCTGTCAGGTGGGACACCCAGCATCTCATCCCACTTGACCCCAGGTTGTCTGAGGCTTTCTCCTGTGCTTCTGTCTTATCTCATCCCTCTCTCCATGGCTCTCCTGACCCCTGACTTCTGCCCTGCTAGGTGTCACCACGTCCTTCCACTGTTCCCTCACTGCTTGTCTTAGATGCTAGCCCACAGTGAAGGGCCCTGGACTTAGAGGTGAGATTAAAGCTAGTGTTGGGCCTGGGTACCACCCAGGGCTGCTCCCATGGCTGTCAGCTCATGCAGGGGGGTGGGACGTGTGTGGCTGGATGGCCCCCAGTTGGGGGAGGCAGGTGCCTTGTTAGTGTGAAGTGCCCAAAGGATGCCCTCCTCAGGGGGTTGTGCGTTTTGCCAAAACCTCATGTTAGTTGTTAAAATGTGATTGAATTGGCTAAAATACGAGTGGGAACACGTAGTGTTCCTTCCCATTGTGCCATGGTGGTCTCTTTAAGCCACTCTGTCCCTACTGCCTGCTACATGCAGGGGGAAATACGTGTCCTTCCCGATACACCAGGGCCAGTCCTGTTGGTGAACATGATCGGGGGGACAGGTATCTTTCCACCAGATCCACAGAAATGTTACGACTGTTGGGGACACTTGTCGGTGCTGATCCGCAAGTTTTCTCTCTGGAAGTGATTTCTGCAGTGTTGCTTTTCCACTATTAGATTGGGTTGTAATACAACGTATTGTATCTGGATTTCTTAGTACACCTGATAGGGATGATTTTTTAAAAATTAGATATTCAGAATAAACCATTTTTTTTTTGGACCCATTTGCTGCGTGTTTTGCTTTTGATACTTGGTCACTAAGTTCTGCAGTTGAAAGTGGCTTTGGGGATGTCAGTGTCCTGCATGCCTTGAGAGACCTGGTGGGGACCACCCTCCAGCCAGTGTGCCACACATCCTGCTGCTTCTCAGGTCAATCAAAGTCCCCTTCTCAAGGGCACTTTTTGTCACCTGAAATACACCCTCAAATCTTTATTTGAAGGAAGTCTCCAATCAGAACAGAAAATGCCATATTTAACAATCACTTATGAGCTGCAGCTCTCAAAATGAATCCTTCCGTGCTTGCAGTGGAGACAGAGGCATTACTTTCCTTCAGCTCATACACCTCAGGATGTGAAGGAAGTGCTGAGCCTGGGCAGAGGAGCTGTTGGCTGCAGCAAGGGCCTGGCTCCTGGACCTGCCCTGGGCTGTGGCCAGTCTGCTTTAAAAGAAAACAATCATGGATGAGGGACTAGTCACCTCTCTGGAAACCCCTGGGGCAGTGGCAAGGGAGCTGGTTCTCCCTTCAAGGTGACAGGCAGACCTTCGTACCTGGGAAGCTCCCAGACCCAGTGATAGCACAAGAGGGCTTTGTGACTTTGGAAAAAGCCACTCTTATCCCTGGGAAGCACAATGCAAATCATAGCTGTGCAACACTTCTATGTTCTTGTCCTTTGCGGGAGCTGAGAGTAGCTTACTGTAGCCATAGTCCTGGTGTAGGGACAGGACCAGAACCCTGAGCTTTGGGCACTGTCCTTGCTGTCTGGCCAGTTCCCTTGACTCTTCCTGCCAGCAGTCGCCAGGAGCAGGGTTTGGAAACCTGGTTCCACTCACACCCTGCCTGCTGGGCCCTCCTGTGAAAGCCCAGCTCAAAAGCCCTCCAGCCTCTAGGCTGCCAGCAGCATCCCCAGTGCCCTGCCTTGCCTCCACCTTGGGAGCAGAACTTTGCCAGTGTTGCTTCTGTGATACAATCCCGAGAGTCTATCTCTCCTCCCACAGAAAATTTGGTGCTTCAAGGGTCCCCAGTGTGGAGACTCTCATGTATGACTATAGTTTGGGGGTGGGAGATGGGAATTGTCTACCAGTGAGGCTGCTGCTACCTGTTGGGGAGGGTGGGCAGATCTTGAACTGGGGTGTGACATGATAGGGGATATGATGACAGGGTGTCCATTGCCCACTGTTTACCCATTTGCTCAATGACCATAGGAATGGCAGGGGCCTCGCAGACCCAAGACACAGAGTGGACAGGTCTGTTTCCATTTTGCTGACCCATACACCTGTAATTCTTAAGTTTGATGTCAAGGACCCCTTTAGTGAGGAACAACTCAGGGACTGCGTTTCTCGCCCCTTTGTGCTCTCAGCCACTGGAAGCTGGAGGTTCGAGGTTAGTAGGCTTTTCTATGTTGAGGACCAGCCATGAGGAGTGATTTCATGGTATGGAGGGAGCAAGGGTTTCTGGGAAGCACTGCAGTTTCCGCTGGCCACTTTGGGCAGCTCTGAAGTGCACACAGAGAAGGAAAACAGAGCAGGTGAAATTTCTTGTGTTGTGTGTGGAAGATACTTTGCTGGTCCTTGTTCAACCAAAGATGTCCAGAAAGGGACTGCATCGGAAGTTAATGGAGCATGTCCCGGTGCTGGGCCCTGCCTATGGGGTGACTGTGAGAGAGGGCTGTGGTGGGGAAAAGCTGGTTCCACCTTTGTTATCTCCAGCTACAGATGGTGCAACCAAGAAGAGAACACAGGTCCATGAGAGGCTTCCCCACAGAGCTGTGCCCTGTGCTCTCGCACCCTGCAGCCGCTGGTAGAGTGAGCAGGTGCTTGGCCTCCTGCACTGGCTTGCAGAGCCTCAGCTTCTGTATGTGAGGAGAATTAAAAACAGCCACCTCAATAGCTGAAGTGGCGCACTCTTGAGTCTGAGACAGAATTGCTGAAAGTTTGAGGCCATCCTGAACTAGACAGTGAGCCCTTGTCTTCCAAAAACCAAAAGGAAAGACAGCTCTCTCTCTAGTCAGGTGCTTGCTAGAAGCATTTCACTTGCTCAAGTGCCAGGACACATCTTCCCAGCTGGATGAGCCAGGCAGGTGTCACCTGCCTTTGGTCCTAGCACTTTGAGGCTTGCCTGGGCAACATAAGACCCAGCTCAAGGCAACAACTGCATGGCATGAATTCTGCGTGTATTGCAATGTGGTACAATGATAGATTTAGAAATTCGTACTTGCTTTTCTGGAGACACCAAGATGACTTCAGGTTCTTGCTTCCATCCAGCGTTGTGAATTGTTGTTTCTTATTTCTTCTGACATAGCAAGACACCTTGCTTTTGCTTATGATTATGAAGGTGACACCGTGTAAGGAATATAGTCAATCAAATACAATAAACACAGGCTGAGTGGCGAGATTGTTTTTCCCCAACATTATGATTGTTCCAAAAGTGCTTATTCAATGAACATTTAAAAATTACATGAGCCAGACAGCTCAGTTGTCATTTCTGCTTTGTGAGATTTCCCATAAAAACAAGTCATCTAGTTTTAATGTGGTTAATGTCTCTGTAAATGAAGCCTCCTTCTAGTAAATAAGGAAATCCCACCTCTCAGGTGCGCTGTGAGACTCAGTAGGCCCAGGTTGCTCTTGCAGTCAGAACAGAAGCTTCCCAAAGAAGTCCATCACTGGGATCTGTGAGAATGTCCTGTCTGTCACGGGAGAATTAGGTTCCAGATGGAAGCAGGAAGAGGGCGCTGAGGAATCAGTGGTTAAAGGGGGCAGAGCTTCAGTGTGGAGAGATGAGGACCTTCTGGAGGTGGATGGGGGGACAGCTTGACAGCAATGTGAGTGTACCTAATGCCCCCGACCTGTGCACCTGAAGATGGTTCAGAAGGGAAGTTTTGTATGTGTTTTACCGCAAAAAAAACAAAAAACAAAAAACAAAAACCCTTTTTGTTTGTTTGCTTTTTGAGATAGAGTCTTGCTTTGTAGCTCAGGCTGGCCTTGAACTTCTATGTAGCCAGCCCAGGCTGACCTTCACCTTGCAGCAGTCCTCCTGCCTCAGCTAGAATTATAGATGCATGCTGCCACACCCTGCTCAAAACAAACTTGTTCAACAGAGATCACTTTAGATTTTCTGAGTGGACCCAGCGTAATCGAAAGGGGCCTTCAAGTGGCAAAGGGAGGCTAAGAGCTCAGAGTCACAGTGGTGGGATGGGAGAGGACCTTGCCTGGTACTGCCAGCTCTGAAATTGAGACAATCCACAAGTCCCTCCTTAACTGGAGGCAGGAGAAAGTGGATTTTCCACTGGACCCTGCAAGAGGGAAGGCAACCTGGCCATACCATGTGTTTAGCTCAGCAAGACCCTTGCCAGAGTCCTGAGCTACAGAACTAAAGGGACACTGTTGAGAGCCACCACAGACCATCCACTCTTGATTACTAGGTGGTCGGCATGGTCTGCGTCTGAACGCAGAGTCCCTTTCCTCCCTGGGTCACTGCTGGGTGTCCAGAGGTGATTTGCTTGAAAAATGACACAAACCTGAAGGCGTGAAGTATCAAGAGACCCACATTTGGTGACTTCTGCATGTGATATTTCCTCCCACTTTTCTTTGGTTCAGGGAACAGAACCAGGACACTCACACATGCTCTAGTCAGGCACCCTAACACTGAGACACACTCCCACACTCCCCTCCCCAAGTTCTAATTGGCAAGATAAGAATTTGTGTATGATTGGTAACATGCTTCTTGTTTTTGTTTGGATTTTTTTTTTTTTTTTGTCTTTTTTTTCTTTTTTATCGGTACCGGGGATCGAACTCACAACTGCCTGCTTGCAAGGCAGGTGCTTACGCCGCTGAGCTAAATCCCCAGCCCCTTTTGTTTGGATTTTTGAGACACCTTTGCTCTGTAGTTCAGACTGACCTTGAACTCACAGCAGTCTTCTTGCTTCAGCCTCCCACGAGCTGGGAATAGCGGTGTGTGCCACCGCGCCCAGTTTGTCACATGTTTTGATACGTGCACCACTGCAGAAGGGCTAAACTGAGCTAATTAGCATGTGTTATCTCTCGGGGTTATTGTTTCTTTGTGATGTGAACACTTAAGTCAACTCAACCCTTTTTGCTTTTTGAGAAAGGTGTTTTATATTGTAGTCTTTAAAAAGACTGCGAGAGGGGGCTGGGGATTTAGCTCAGCGGCATAAGCGCCTGCCTTGCAAGCAGGCAGTCCTGACTTCGACTCCCCCATACCGATAAAAAGAAAAAAAGACCAAAAAAAAAAAAAGCGCGAGGAAAGTAAGGAGCGGGAGACGGAGGCAGGATGGTTGGAGCGGGCAGGGGCCACGCGCCAAATATCACCCGGGGTGTGCGCAGGCAGGGGCCAAGCTTTGGCGCTCTGCTGGCGGTTTGTCCTATGCTGGCGGTTGGTCCTGCGCGCGCCTAGCAGGACCCCCTGGTCTCGAGGGTCGCGTTCTAAACTGTTACTGGTCAGTGATGGAAATGCGGCAGCGCACCTGTGGCGGCATCCTGGCAAGCTCCAGGGTAAGTGGGCCAGAACCTGTACAGCACCCGGTGGGTGCTAGAAATCGTCGTGGGCAGGTGTGCGGTTGCGGGCATCTCTTGCTGGAGGGTCGCGCCTGCCTGGGGCACTGCCTGGCAGTCCTCAGCGACCCCTTTCGCCCTCCTCAGCCCGACTGTCTGTGTGACACACTGAATAGCCTCTCGTGATCGTCCTCTCACCTTTCCTTCCTTCCTGGCCGTTCTCCACTGTACTGACCTGCTGTATTTCCATCGTGGAACCTTTTTTGTATTTTTTTTTAGCTGTAAACTTATGTAAGTTAGGTTGACTGACCAGCCTCTGCAGTCCTTGAAAAACATCTCTCTTGAGCTATAGCGAATCCAGTTCCTTTCCGTGTTCACTAAATCCAGCCCAAGAATTCAGGGAACCGACAGGCCTTCCCAGGAGCTGACTGCACACATTCCTGTAAGATGCCTGTTGGATTTTGTACTTGTCAGTTTTTCTGGCTGTATACTGCTTCTGTGCTTTTCCTGAAAAAGGATTGAGTGGAATGGGCCCCTACTGAGAAATAGAAAAAACTAGGTAACAGAAGCGCACTTGTTTTCAAAACTAAAAAGTCTGCTTTTGCAAACAAAACTTCACAAGGTTTGCTTTATTATTTATAGGAGAAATAAGTAGTTCTCTTTGGTCCTTACTTCGTCCCAGCATTGTTGTCTTCTTGGGTGTCTTCATATTGTGGCTTTCTGCATTTAATGTGTGCCTGGGTGTATCTTCACCGAGTATTTACATCCAAAGAATAACAGATCTGCGAATAAAGAGATTGTCAGCTTTCCTTTATTAGCTGCAGATACTCATAAAGTTGTAGATTTGTGGGAACCTGTATTATCTGTTTAATGACTAGTCTGTGTTTTTGTTCCAAGATGTTGTGGGAGGCGAGGCCCACTATCAGTGAAGCAGGCCCTTCAGGAGGAAGTGAAAGCCGTGGATCTGGCTCCCCTTCACAACCAGATGCAGATTCCCATTTTGAACAGCCCATGATGTCCACGCTAGAAGAAACATACCTTTCTCAGAGCACATTGATAGAGACTCAAGAAACATTGGCTTTGACCCAGGGGGAGTTACTCGAGGTTGGTCATGAGAGAGATTCGTTGCAGACACAACTCAATACTGCGCTTCCACAGGTATGTGTGCTTTTCACCTGAAACTACAGTTTCTTTCTGTTAAGCGTCTTTCTATGATACCATCTTCTGTTTATGTACTTCTGTATTTTGTGTAACCAACCACTTGTGAAATGATGGTTCCTGGTGTTTGTAAGCACATGCAGAGTTCCTGGGGATTAAACGACTCAGGGCAGACCAACTAGTGTTCTGTAAAGTCATGTGAAAATGTTTTACTGCTCTCACTCTTCTCTGTGAGGAACTGCTGAAGATTTGGGAATGCACTTTGAAGGATTTTTAAAAAGACTTGAAACAACAACCAAGCGACATACGTGGTCCTTGGTTTCTTTGATTCTTTCTTGTGAGATCTCTTGCTTAATGTAGGCTTCCCATGACTTGTATCTCAGGAATTGTATGTGTGTTTAGGATTGTATCTCAAGGATTTCTAGTTTCTAAAGAAGTTTTGTAGATAATGAAGTTTTTGTGGTATTAGGAATCGAACTGAGGCCCTTGCTCTTGCCAGGCAGATGCTTATGCTGCTGAACTATTATCTCTAGCCCTTGAAATTTGGTAGACAAGGATTCACTTCACAGAGAAAAAAATTTTAAATTTTATTTAAGGAGAAAAAGAAAAAAAAAAGCAGAGAAATGGTACAAGTTATACAGAATTTCAGAAAAAAATAAACAAGAGGAAATCACTAGTTAATAGATTACGTATTGTCATGTTAGAAATATTTGTTTGAGTCACAAAATTAAAGTATATAAAGTGGACATTCAAACAGTGAGACTATAAACAGTTCTGTTGAACAAAACTCAGTAATATTGTTATCTGTCATCTTTTTCGTTTTTATTGGTACCACAGTTCGAACTCAAGACTGCCTGCTTGCAAGGCAGGCACTTAGGCCGCTGAGCTGAATCCCCAACCACTGAATTTTATCTTTTGAAACACTTATAATTTTTCTTTTTTAAAAAGAATTCATATATTCACTTTACTCATTTTGTACTTTTCTCTTACAAAACTAGAGAAATTAAAAGTAGGAAGTTAACAACGTTGGCACAGTATTAACTGTAAAAATTATTCCAGTTTCACCAAGTTTTCCCTGATGCTGTTTTTCTGTTCCGGAATCCAGTTCAAGGCCTCATATTATCCTTTTGTGTTCTTTTCTGATTTTTTTTCTATTATGTAATGTAGTCTTTTTTTTTAATGGTACTGGGGATCAGTGCAGACCCTTGAGCATGCGAGGCTCATACTCTACCACTGGACCTCACCCTTAGCCAATTTAAGTTTTGCTATTCTAGAACAATTACCACCCAGTCTCTTTATAGTTTACTTTTGCTAGATTTATTTGCTAATGTTTTGTTTAGGGTTATTGTGTCTGTGTTTATAGAAGATACTGACATAACATTTTATTTTCTTGTACTATCTTTGGTGTGTGTTTTTGTGCTTTGCACCAGGGCTTGACCTCATGACCTCACACTTAGCAGGCAGGCTCTTGAGTCACTGAGCTACATCCCGGCTCTATTATCTTTAAGTTTTGCTATAAAGGTTATTATGCTGGTCTCATAAAGCAAGGTAGAAAGTATTTCTTGTTTTTCTTTTCCCTGGAAAACTTGTGACTTTGTGGTTTTCCTTCTTAGATACTTGAAAGAATTTATTGACAACACCTCCCAAGTCTTGAGTTTTCCTTCTGAGAAAGAAAACTTTCAGAATCAACTTTATAGATAGAAGTGGGATTTTCCTGATAGTAATTTACAGTATCTTTATTATCTACATGATCTCTAGTGATGTACATTTTAATAATTCCTTGTATTGGCAGTTTGTGCTTTGTCTCTTTTTCTTAAATTATCTTGTTAGGAATTTACCAGTTTTATAAGGTCTTTTAAAGAGCTGAATTGTAGCTTTGTTGGTGTTTTTGTTCTCATTTGTTTTTTAGACAACCTTGCCTTGGCGTTTCCATCTTCCCGTCTCAGCCTCCGTTAATGTGGACGTTGCAGGCCGGCTCCAGCATGCATGACTTGGCTTCGTTGTTGTTTTCCTACTTAATGCTTGCTTTCTATTTCATTACTGAGATCTTTTGCCTTTGTTCATTTTTCTAGTTTCACAAGTAAATATTTCATCAAATTTTATTATTATTACTATTATTATTATGGCACCAGGAATCAAACTGATGACCTTGTGCTTGCCAGTTAGGCACTTGTGCAACTGAGTTATATCTCCGACCCCCAATTTTTAGAATTTCATTCTTTCTGTTTCTTTGTACTGATTTCAAGGCTTTTACACTGAGCTACATCCTCACCCCTTCTTATTTTTTTAAATTTGAGATAAAATCTTGCTAAGTCACTTGAGTTGCCCAAATTGGGTTTCAACTTAAGATTTTCCTGTCTTACTCAGTCTTTTCTTATATATATATTTACAGCTATTAATTTCCGTTGAGCAAACCTTTAGTTATGTTCTACACATTTTCGTAAGTCAAATTTGCATTAGCTATAATACAAAAAATAGTTTATATCCAGTGTGGTATCTTTTTTAATTCCTTTTTTTTTGTTTTTGCCAGGGGAAAGCGCGAACGCAGTCCCCCACTACCACAAATTATGCAGCCGAGTTTCCCGCATTTGGGGAAATCGCAGGGGTCAGCACATCCGGAGTGCAATGGATGAGCCTCACCCTGGGAAAACCACCTTCGTGATCATGGTATCTCCCCTGCCAGGTCTTTTTTAATTCTTAAAAGTTTTTTAAAGTATACCATTTAACTTCGAATATTGGGAGAGTTTCTAATTTGTTTGTTTGTTTGTTTCTAAGTTTCTTTTTTTATTTTATTTAAAAGGAAAAAGAGAAAAAACAAAACAAAACAAAGCAGTATAAGGGTACAATTAATACAGAACTACAACAACAACAACAAAAAAACCACTAAGAAATCTCCAGTTAATAGATTACAATTATCATCCTAGAGACAGTTGCTCAAGTCACAGTATTAAAGCATACAAAGTGGACCTTCAAACAGAGAGACTGCAAACAGTTGTGTTCAATGATCCAACCAAAAACATTAATATGGTCAGCTATTTAGCACCCCTAAACACACTTGCAGTTGTATATTTAGAGCACTTCTTTTCCTCTCTTTTTTACAACAAAATTTACACATTTTGGGTTTTATTACTCCTTAGTTCTTATTACTTTTTTTGTTTTGGAAGAGAATAAAGTCAAATATAGCAAAACAAAGCTGTCAGTCAAAACCACGGATGGACATAACACATGATGTAAAAACAGAGTACAAGGTTATCAACAATGGTTACCATAATGCCTCTTGCTTCCTTAAAAAGAATTGTCTGTCTCATTAGGTATTATAAAGTTGAACAAAGCAGTAGAGAACAAGACCAATAAAACCTAAACCTTGTAAACACTACAGGACTTCCAAAGAAGAAAATAGTGAAACTAGGATGGGCATCATAGTGAATCTCATTGCCTTCAAAGTAGTTGTCTATACCTTCAAAATTGCTACTATCATACAGAACGGAACAGAGTCTAATCAGTCAAAACAAGTTAGTGGGAGTATTACAGGACTTCAAGTTAATAGGAAATCAAATAAGTTACTATAATATATCCTGGTAATTTTTTTGATTTTTCCCCTTTATTAAAAATCATAAAAAATAACTAAATAATTTTTTTAATGAATAAGGAAGAGATTGAGATAAAAGAGGACATAACATCATAACAGTACAGGTCAAAGCATGACAGTTTCAGCAACCTAGTGCTTCACCACCAAATAACCCGGTTTAATAGTAGTTACCATAGTGTCTTTTTCCTTGAAATATTTGAATATAACTTCATATACTATAGCTTCAAACATATCAAGTCAGTGTAAAACCATTCAAGTGGATGAAAGCATTGTAGGGTTTTTAGAACCAACTAACAGAAAATAAACAATGGTTTCTATATTATCTCTTTGCCTATAAGAATTTTTGTTTATACTGTCACATATAATAAAATCCAGCAAGATGAATCATGATAAAACCATTGGAGACAGAAGAGCCAGTTTGGTGGGGCTTCAAAACAAGATGATAGTAAATCAGCACTAGCTATTATGATGACTTATTTTCTTCAAAATAGCTGTTCATTTCATCACAGGCAATAATATCAAGCCGCCCAGAATAAAGCCTTTCCAGTTAATAAGTGAAAACTTTATAAGGCTTCAAGGACACATAATGGGGAATCATGATTACCACATACTTTTATATATTTGAATCATTACTTACATTAGGGAAACTATTTGGTATTCACACATGCGAGATTGATTTATTTCACTTATGAGTATGGTCTCAAGCTGCGCCCAGTTATTGATAAATATCTCAATGTGATTCTTCTTTATAGCTGAGTAATACTCCATTGTATAGAAATACCACAAGTTTTTTATCCATTCCTCAGTTGATGGACACTTGGGTTGTTTCCAAGATTGGGCGATTACAAATTGTGCTGCTATAAACATAGGTGCACATATATCACTGTGGTATGATGCTTTCAGTTCTTCTGGGAATATGCCTAGAAGTGGAATAGCTGAAACAAATGGGACTTCCAATCCCAGCTTTTTGAGAAATCTCCAGACTGACCTCCACAAAGGTTGTACCAGTCTACACTCCCACCAGCAGTGTAGGAGAGTTCCTTTTTCCCCACAGCCTCTCCAGCATTTGTTGTTGTTAGTTTTCTTGATCCTGGCCATTCTTTCAGGAGTGAGATGGTATCTCAGTGTGGTTTTAATTTGCATTTCTCTAATGACCAATGATGATGAACATTTTTTCATGTATTTATTTGCCATTTGTATTTCTTCATCTGAGAATTGTGTATTCATCTCAGATGCCCATTTTTGGATTGGATCTTTGAATTTTGGGGGTCTGAGTTTTTTTAATTCTTTATATGTTTTAGACAAAAGTCCCTTGTCTGATGGGGAGTTCACTAAGATCTTTTCCCAGTTTGTGGGTTTTCTTTTCACTATGCTGGAGATTTCTTTTGACATGCAGAAACATTTTAATAAGAAGTAGTCTCAGTTATTGATTCTGGGAAGTATTTCCTGTGCGGTTTGAGTCCTGTTCATGAATTCTCTACCTACCCCTATGTCTTCAACGTTTCTACCCAATTTGTCTTCCAATAGATTTAGTGTTTCTGTTTTAATATTCAGATCTTTGACCCATTTAGATTTTAATTTAGTACATGGTGATAGGCATGGGTCTAGCTTTAGTTTTCGGCAAATGGAGAGCCAGTTTTTCCAACACCATTTATTAAAGAGACTCTTGTTCTTCCAGTGAACCTGCTTGGCTCCTTTATCAAAGATAAGGTGGTTGAGTTTGTTTGTAGTTGTGGTTGTATCTTCTGATCTATTCCAGTGATCTTCGGCTCTGTTTTGATTCCAATACCATGTTGATTTTACTACTGTTGCTTTGTAGTATAACTTCAAGTCAGGGATTGTGATGCCTCCTGCCTTGCCTTTGCTGCTTAGAGTTACCTTTGCTATTCTAGCTGGTTCCAGATGAATATTAGGAGTGATTTCTCTAGATTTATAAGGTATGTTGATGGTATTTTTATTGGGGTTGCATTGAATCTGTATAACAGCTTTGGGAGAATGGCCATTTTCACAGTGTTTGTTCTTCCTATCCGTGAGCAAGGAATGTCTTTCCATTTTCTGGGATCATGTTCAATTTCTTTTTTCAGTGTATTATAATTTTCCCTGTATAGGTCTTTCACTTCTTTCGTAAGAGTAATTCCTAAATATTTCATGGTTTTGCTTACTAGTGTGAAGAGTGTGGTTTCTCTTATTTCCCTCTCTGTGATTTTGCTGTTAGTGTATAGGAATGCTATTGATTTCTGAGTATTGATTTTGTATCCAGCTACATTACTGAATTAATTTATTATATCTAAGAGTCTTTCAATAGAATTTAGGGGGTCTTCTATGTAGAGTATCATGTCATCTGCAAACAATGACAATTTAACTTCTTTTCCTATCTTTACCCCTTTTATTTCTCTCTCATGTCTAATTGCTCTGGCTATTACTTCCAGTACTATATTAAATAGGAGTGGTGATAAAGGACATCCTTGTCTTGTGCCTGATTTTAAAGTAAAGGCTTTCAATTTTTGGCCATTTAGTATGATGCTGGCTTTTGGTTTGTCATTAATGGCCTTTATTATATTGAGGTAAAGACCATCTATTCCAAGTTTCTGTAAAGTTCTTATCATGAATGAATGTTGGACCTTATCAAAGGCTTTTTCTGCATCTATAGAAATGATCATGTGATTGTTACTTTTGGCTTTATTGATATGGTGGATTACATTTATTGATTTACGTATGTTGAACCATCCCTGCATTCCTGGGATGAATCCCACTTGGTCATGGTGTATAATCTTCTTGATGATTTGCTGCATCCTGTTTGCCAATATTTTATTCAGGATTTTTGTGTCTGTGTTCATTAGGGAGATCGGTCTATAGTTCTCTTTTTTAGTTGGGTCTTTCTCAGGTTTTGGTACTAGAGTAATATTTGCTTCCAGGAATGACTTAGGAAGGATTGCTTCCCTTTCAATTTCATTAAATAGTTTGAGGAGTGTTGGCATTAGGTCTTCTTTGTATTTCTTATAGAATTCTGCAGTGAATCCATCTGGGCCTGGGCTCTTCTTTGTAGGTAAGGACTTAATTACACTATCAATTTCATTAAGAGAGATTGGGTTATTCAGCAGTTTTACATACTCGTGATCTAGCTTTGGTACTTCATATGTTTCTAGGAATCTGTCTATTTCTTCTGTGTTATCAAATCTTTGAGAGTAGAGGTTTTCGAAATAGGTGTTGATGATCTTCTGTATTTCTGTAGAGTCTGTAGTGATTTCACCTTTTTCATTTCTTATTGCATGAATTTGAGCTTTTTCTTCCCTTTTTAAAATAACGTTGGCTAGGGGCTTATCGATTTTATTTATTCTTTCAAAGAACCAACTCTTTGATTCATTGGATTGTTTTCTTAGTCTCTATTGAGTTGATTTCTAATTTTTATAATTTCTAATTTTTATAATTTCCTCCCTTCTTTTGGCTTTGGGCTTGACTTGCTCTTCTTTTTCTAGCTGTTTGAGGTGTAGCAACAGGTTATTTATTTGTATTCGTTCTGTTTCCTGATGTGGGAACTCAATGCAATGAATTTTCCTCTGAGGATGGCTTTCATTGCATCCCAGAGATTCCCGTAAGTTGTGTCTGTATTTTCATTTTCTTGTAGGTATTGTTTAATTTCTTCTTTAATTTCCTCTGTGACCCACTGATTACTCAAGAGTGTGTTACTCAGTTTCCATGTGTTTGCGGGATTTTTGCAGTATCTTTTATCATTAATTTCTAATTTCAGAGCGCTATGATCCGATAACATGCAAGGGATGATTTCAACTCCTTTGCATTTGTTTAAATATGTTCTGTGAACAAATATTTGGTCTATTTTAGAGAGCCACCCATGTACTGCTGAGAAGAATGTGTATTCATCGCTCCTAGGGTTTCTTGAGGTGTGCTGGATGTTGTTGGGTGGAACATTCTGTATATGTCTATCAAGTCCCATTTGTTTATAGGTGTGATTCAGTTCTGTTATTTCTTTGCTCATTTTCTGTCTGGTTGATCTGTCCCTTGGTGTCAAAGGCATGTTAAGGTCTCTTATTATGGTTGTGTTACTGATAATTTGAGTTTTCATTTCTGTTAATAGTTGTTTCATATAACTGGGTGCTCTGGAGTTTGGTGCATATATATTTAAGATAGTTATCTCTTCCTCTTGGAGTTTTTCACTAATGAGTATGTAGTGACCTTCTTTGTCTTTTATGATCCTTGTTGGTTTAAAGTTCACGTTGTTTGCAAACAGAATGGCTACTCCTGCTTTTTTTTGGATTCCTGCTGCATGAAGAATTGTTTTCCATCCTTTGACTTTCAGTCTGTGAGTATCCTTCTGGGTTAGATGGGTTTCCTGTAAACAGCATATGGTTGGATTTTGTTTCTTGATCCATTCTGCTAGTCTGTTTCTTTTGATTGGTGCATTGAGACCATTTACATTAATGGTTATAACTGTTATATGATGGTTTATTGTTGACATGTTATCTCTCTGCTGTTGCATCTTTATCTTTCTGTTCTGTTTAATTATCTTCTTTGCTTAGTGGTTTTTTTCTTGTATATCTAAACTGTCCCTCAATATTTTTTGCAGTGTTGGCTTGGTGTTCATGAAGTTCTTCAGCTGTTCTTTGCCATGGAAGTATCTTATTTCACCATCAATTTTGAATGATAGGTTTTCAGGGTACATCAGTCTAGATTGGAAATCATTTTGCTTTAGGATCTGGAATATTTCACTCCATGTTCTTCTTGACTTTATTGTTTATGCTGAGAAGTCTGCTGTGTTCTGATAGGTTTCCCTTTATAAGTGATTTGTCTTTTCTCTCTGACAGCTTTTAATAATCTATTCTTGTGTTGGATTTCCAGGATGGTGATTATTATATGTCTGGGTGTAGTTTTATTTTGGTTATGACTATTTGGAATTCTATAGGCTTCACTGAACCTGATGTCGGTTTCTGATCTCATGGTTGGGAAATTTTCACCTATTACTTCTCTTAATATCCTCTTGACATCCTTTATGTTGTCTCCTTCTTTTTCATTAATTCCTATCAATCTTATGTTATTTTTCTTTGCATCATCTTGCAGTTGTTGAATTTCCTGATTCCTTTTTATTTTTAAAAGATCTTTCCTTTCCTGTTCACTAGCTGCAATCCTGTCTTCAAGGTCTGAAATTCTATCTTCACTTTCATTGAGGCGGTTTTTACAACTTTCAGTGGAGTTTTTTATTTCCTGTGTATCTCTGTGCATCTGCATTATGTATTCTGTTTGTTTCTTATATTGCTCATCTAGGGATTCTATCTTTTTGTTTAGTTCCTCCAATTTTTTAACTGTGTTTTCTTTAGAGATATTCAGAATCTCTTTCATTTCCTTTATCATTTCTTCTTTTACCTGGGAGATTTTTTTGAGTTTGAATTCCTTTAAAGCTTCCTGGAGTTGCTTGTTAATTTCAGTAGCTATTATGTCCGATATTTGAGGTGAATGGCATACATTTTCTTCTGTATACATCGCTCCTAGGGTTTCTTGAGGTGTGCTGGAGGTTTGAGGTTGTAATTTGGTCTTTTGTTTTGTCATTTTCCTATATTTCTGTTTCAAGTGTTATTTGAAAGCTTCCTCAGGGTCTGTTGGAAATCCACTTTTATGTTCGCACCTCCTGGCACTCTGGCACCCAGTTCCTCCAAGCCACTGGGCCCACTAGAACCAATGGCCCTCTTCTGCCGTTTAGAACTCCGTAGTTCTAGATAAGCTGGGCTCCAGGGACACTGTGCACCCATCTGCTTGCTGGAAGCTCCACAGTTCTCCAAGCGCAGCCAGAATAGGGAGGTGGACGTAGAGGCCTCAAACCCACTTAAGCAATTCACTGCCACTGGAAGCCTGGAGGGTCCTGAAGAGTCTGGGCTTGGGGCAGAGTGCACTGAGCACTTACCACAGGCCGGGGGGCCTTTGAAACTGGTGATGATCCCCTGCTTGCTGAGATATCCACAGTCCTCCAGACACACGGAGAGGCAGATGCAGGTGCCCCAGACCCGCCCAGCCCTTCCTCGGCACCCAGACGGTGCAGGAGTCCCAAATAGGCTGGGCTCCAGAGATAGTGTCCATCAGTTTAGTTTTGAGGACATCAGTGTAGCTTTGTGTTTGATTTGAATTTAGGATTGTGTCCAGTATTTTCTCACTGAAGTGTATTAATGTTTTGTGCGTTAATTACTTGTCCTTTTACCCCTCTGAAATACCTAATTTAGGCAATGGCCCAGAATGAACAAATGGAGGAAAGAATCACTACGCTGGAAAAACACTACCTTGCTGCACAGCCTGAAGCCACATCTGTGCATGACCTCAGTGACGAACTTGAAAATGAAATTGCAAATAAAGATTCTATACATCGACAGGTAATGGGTTTTACGACTGTTTTCTGATTTTAATAAGTTGTATTTGGGGAGGTACTTTGAGTCATTCATTTGCATTGAAAGATATTCTGTTCAGTATTAGTACCTTGATTAAAGGAGCAGGTGGCAGAGAACTTCAGGGCATTTGCTCTCCTTAGTAACCCGAAATACACACACCAGGATTCTTGAAAAATGTGTGGCACAGTTTTGTCTTGGTTCATGAACATTTTTGTTTGCAAGCACTTTGGTTCACAAATAGAAGTATTTGGCAAATTGTATTTGTTTGCAAATTCTGCAATGGATGACAAGCACAACTGCAATCATGTTTCCCAGACATGTTTTTCCAAAGTTATAGAACAAATGAAGTTCGTGAACTATAATACCACTGTATTTTATAACATACATTGTTTGATCAAAAATAAAATAGACATTAAAAGTGACGTAATGTTTAATAACATTAACTTATTAATAAAACGTTCATAGGTGAATGACTTCATTAAGCAGATTATAAAATAGAACATATGGGGATTTATACTGAGATAAATATGCACTGAGAAAAAGGGAAGTCTTCAAATCAAAGAAAAACCCTCATAGCAACCTGTACTTGGAGGTGTTTTCTAGATGTTGTGAAAACTATTTGGTAAATATTCTACATAGAAATTTTTTTAGAGGAATGGATTTGTGAAAGAATAATTACCTACTTTAAAAGTAACTTGAGCAGCTTGTCATCAGGATGAGCAAAGTCCCAGAGCCAGTGAGTCTTGCATGTTAGCAGTAATTCGCAGAAGTGGCAGAACCTTAGAGTGGGGGTTGGGCTGCTTCTTGAACTCATATCAATCCTCTTGCCTCAGCCTCCTGTAGGAAAATGAGTGGTCTAAGAGTTGGTGTTTGAATCTTCTTAAAGGTTTTTATTTTCTTCAACAAATCTGATAGGGGTTACAATGGAAAATTTACTAAATTATGGGAACGTTTTTAAATCAGATCAAGAATTTGCCCACGTAGTGACGAAGACGGCCCAGTTAAGTCCTTTGCATAGTAGCTTGGTCTGGGGTGCAGCATTATAGTCAGAGATATTGTGAGATTCACCGTGTTGGCTCAGAGCTGATGTAGACACAGCCAGGCCTGAATCCATGTGAGAAGCAGCTTCTTTTATGGGCTGGGTTGAGGGAAGTTCTTTCAGATTTACACAGAAATACCTGTGATTGCCTGTAGAGAACCTTAGACAGATAAGAGAACAGACAGCTGGGGTGCTGATGCACACCTCCAGTAACAGCACTCCAGGAGGCTAGGGCAGGAGAATGGCAACTTCAAACCCTATCTAGGCAAGTTAGTGACAGTAAGACCCTGTCTCAGAGTGAACAAAGGTCTGAGGATGTAGCTCAGTGCCAGAGTCCTGTGTTCAGTCCCCGTCATCACACAAGGGGAGAAAACAAACATCCAGAGGACTGAAAGCTTTAAAGCAGAAAATCAGTTGCACTGCAGAAGTGTTTGACTTTATAAACTGAGTTTGCAGCTGCTATTTTTTGTCCTTGTTGTTGTTTGGTTGGTTTTGTCTTGTTTTGTTTGATTTTGAGATAGGGTCTTGCTCTGTAGTTCAGGCTGGCCCTGAACTCACTATGTAGCCCACACCAGCCTCTAACTCACTGTGGTCTCCAGCTTTGTCCTCCTGCTCCTCCAGGTGTTAGGATTACCAGTATGTGCTACCACACCCAACGTACAGGCACCTTTTTTAACAGTGGTGACTCAGAAAGACAGTCCTTCCCCATCTTTCTGGGCCTACAGAAGGATTATGTACCATTAGTTTTTTATATTGATTTATTTTTGAGACAAGATGTGGCTGTGTAGTCCAGGCTGGCCTTGAACGTAGCCCGAGCTAGCCTCAAGCTCATGGCAGTCCTCCTGCCTCAGCCTGCAAAGTGCTGAGTCTATAGGCTTGGACCACCACACTTGGCAGTTTTTTACTTTTTTACAATGTATTGCTAGGTGGAAATAATTATGCAATAAATTGACCTGGTGTAAAAGCTAAGATGTATACACTGACTTGTAGATTTTCTTTCGTTAATAGTAACCAAAACCCCACTTTTCTTAGAATATTTAAGTAGAATTTTGATTCCACTAATAAGTCCTCTAATATTAAGGAAAATGCAGAGTCCCTGCAAGGAGTTTGCTCCTTCTTGTTAGGATAGTTACTATTGATACAGTTGGATACCACAACTGCTGTTTGGTTATCCATGATGAATAACTAATGGAAGAAGATACTCATAATACCTTAGGATAGAAGAGCAGGTAATCTTCAATTCTATTTTTTTTTGTCTTTTTCCTTTTTATCGCTACCGGGGATCGAACTCAGAACTGCCTGCTTGCAAGGCAGGCGCTTATGCCGCTGAGCTAAATCCCCAGCCCCTTGAATTCTAAATTAATGCATCATGGTTAGCAGGAATCCAGAAACCTACAGAAGGCAGGCAGAGAATTCTGTCAGGCAACAGTTGTGTAGAAAATTGCTTGGGAACTTGCAATATTTTTTTTTTGTGAATCAATTCTTTGATCAGAGTTTCTGATTTCCAGTGTTTAAGTCCATAGAGAAATGTACAGCTTTAAATAGGAAAGTCAGAGTTGTAAAGTTTAAATGGCATTTTGCTTACTAAGAAATTATTAGCAGTCACCATGGAAAAGATTGTCATCCAGCCTCCTCCAAATGTATAATGTGATTAAATCAAATGAGAGATATCAAAATCAACAAAACTCAGCAGAAGGTTTATTTTTTGTTGTTCTAAAATTCATTATATTAAAAACAAATAAAAAGTAGTGTTAATTGAGAAAGTTATTGGAGCTTACACACAGTGATATAGAGTATGTAAATGTAGATAGTCATAGCACATAGGAAAACGTACAGTCATTGAAGTTCTGTGTGGGAGGCCACTTGCTACTGAGCCTTTCCTAGCCTCTAAGAGGCAGATGGACTTTGCCTGTTCACTGCACTTTATCCCTTCAAGATAACAAAGTTACTCTCATTACTGAAGAGCCTGTGACACGTATCTTCAGTTCCCGATGGCACTCAAAAGGAACACTAGTGGGGGCCGAAGCCTCAGGGAAACTGTCAATACCTTTACCGCTAGCAGGAAACAAGACAAGGACAGCATGAGCCAAGACCCAAATATGCATGTGTGTGGCTTCTGTTTCTCACTATCTGGACCACATGTTACAAGTGGAAGCATTTGCATGCGGCCTAAAATCTTACTTACATGTGGCTTGATAAAATATTCCTGGGTTTTTGGTTTGACTATTGCCTTTTTTTGAAGTCCGGCAATATCTCCCATGTTTTGGTTTTATTGCTTTTGTTCTTTACTGTTTTCAGTTTTATTATAACTGATGATATAGGCAATTCTTTAAGATAGCAAGAGGCATTATGGTAACCATTGATCATCACCTTGTCGTCTGTTTTTATATTATGTACTATGTCCCTTCTTTTGATTTGACTGACTCTGTTTTGTTATGTCACATTTGGTTTTATTCTCTTCAAATAAAAAGTAGTAAGAACTGTGGAAGTAATAAAACCCAAAATGCATAATTGTCATAGTAATAAAGAGAGGAAAAGAAAGGATATAACTGCATGTATATTTAAGCGTATAACATAGATAACCATATTGCTAAGTTTTTGTTGGATCATTGAACAGAACTGTTTGCAGTCTCACTGTTTGAATGTCCACTTTATATGCTTTAATTCTGTAACTTGAACAACCATTTCTAAGATGACAGTATGTAATCTATTAAGTAGTGATTTCCCACTGTTTATTTTTTTTGAAATTCCGTATTACTTGTACCCATTTTCTGTTTTTTCTTTTCTTTTTCTCCTTAAATAAAAAAAATAATAATCCTGGGTATATTATTAAAAGAGTGTCGCGCAGACTCTGGGTTTTCTTTTAGGGGATGGCCCATGAGTGTGCCTATGCGTTGAGGAAGGCAGGACTGTGGAAACTGTGCACATGTGAACCCTTTTACCCTGGGTAGGCTCTGTTTAGAAGGTTATTTTCAGGTTTTGAAGCAGGACTAGATTTCATGAAACATTCATGGAGAACAACAAGAGGTGAATAGTTAACTTCTTTGTGAGTGCTATGGTATAAAAGATACAGATTCCATTATAGTCCTGCAGGAGCTCACTGAAGACCAACTAGATTAATGTGAGCTGAGAGCATTTAGGATATAATCTTAACAGATAAACAGATAAATTCCATATCTTTCTCTCTCATTTCTGAGATAAGGTTTCATTATACAATTCTGGCTGGCCATGAACTCACACTGTAGCCCAGGCTGGCTTCAAACTCCAGCAGTCCTCCTGTATCAGCCTCCGGAGTGCTGGGATTACAGGCATATACCACCTTGTCTGGCTCTCATTTCTAATTGTAGTAACAAAAGAAAGACTGCCGTGCGCTGGGGTAACCAGAGCATGCTTACTTAGCATGTTCAGGCCCTGTGTTTAACCTCCAGCAATCTCATCGCTAAAAAAGGCCATCATGCTTGAAATTACCAACATGAATCATAAAAGTTCAAAAAAACTTTTGGGAGGGAACCAGAAATCAAATTTAGGACCTTGTTGTTTGCCAGGCATCATTTAAAATTTCAGGTTAAAACAATCATTTGTTAAAATAGAAAAGAACAAAGAAGAAGTAGGGTACTATACGTATGCTCCATGCACAAAGAGATTCTTGCACCAGACTCCCCTATACTGGCCCCCGCTCTGCCCAGAGCCTTGCAGGCTCACTGAACCAGGCCTTCATTCTGCTTCTGTTCTCTTGTAGGACGAAAGCCCAAGGCTAGGACCCGCTGCCTTGTCTCAGACCTGTCTACAAGTGCCAAGAAGTCCCCTCGGTCTGCCCAGTTAAACCGAAGTGAAGAAGGAACCATCCCATACCGGTCTTTGTCTGGCCGATGTTTGCTGTTCTTAGACTCACCATTAAGCTAATCTTCACGACCAGCCCAGGACAAGTCTCCTCTAAGTCACCAGGCTGCATGCTGAGGAGAGATGACCAGTGAACAAGACCAACCTACCGTGTCTACCGTAAGTCAACAGACTGCTTCCTTTGCTGAGAAATTCTTACTGCCAAAACCAAAATATCCAAATCACACTCAAGTCCACTGAACAGAGGTAAGCTCTGTGGCCGGCTGCTGGTGAAAGTGCGGCATCTCACTTTGGGCAGGCACAGATCATGGCCATTCCGTGCAGCATTACTGTGTGGATCACTTCCTCACTTAAAAAAGAGCAAGCCACAGTTCCACTGGGCCAAGGAACAAATCAGCAACAGAGTGAGGATCTGTACCCGTGTGCTTACTAAATTACCCTTCTGCTCAGCCCCATAGAGAAGCTCACACACAGCTGCTGAGGACAATCACCACTTGGCACCTGCGGCAGCACTGCCCCACAAGTGCACCACCAGGAAGGCAGGAAGCATGAAGCGGGCATGGCACAGGGCCAGAGGCAGCAGGCATTAGGGGGAGCTTCTAGATCGACAAAAAGAAAGGCCCCCATCCCCACTGCTCCTGGAGCACTGTTTTTACCCCCAAGATTTACTCTCAGAGGTAGACTCCCAGCAGACCAGAGCATCTTGACCAATCCAGGCCCAAGGGAGAAGTGGTCCAGGTTTTGAAATCAAACCAGACTTAACTTAACTATACCTGCTCGGCACATCATGTGATCTAAGCTTCAGTTTGCCCATCTGTAAATGGGGTAAGCACAGCAACTGGTTTCTCAACAGGGATGTGATTGTGGACTAAATATAGCAACAAAATGGCCAAGCACTGAGTTTGGCACCTGGCAGAGAGCAGTGCTTGCTAAGTTTTAGCCATCCATATCAGAAAAACTGGTTTTCCTCAATCTAAAGCCTATGGCTCTGCTTTAATCACTCCCTCCTTTCAAATCCTAAATTCTATGTCTATTATACACATGCATTCAATGGTTAGAGGCAAAAGCACTGAACGTAGCAAACACTGACATCTGTCCCCATGATCCATGGATGGCTGATTGCCAAGAGAACAGTAACTTGTGATATGGCATGTCAGTTTAAACATTTCCAATAAAACATCAGTTATTCATTGCAATATAATGACAACATTACACTTATGTGTGTGACATATAATACTCATCCATGCATTAGGGAGATACAAAGCTATGCTCAGTTACTGGACAATTAAGCTTTCTATGATATTTCCTTAAGTCGCTAGGCTGACAAGACACATGCAAAGAAATAGAGACCAGATTTAATATTAAAAATTCAAGGATCTACACAAGCAAATATATTACAATATGAAGGACAAGACAGAAATAAGGGAGACAGGATTTAGAGGAAATAATAACTTGAAATCCAATAATTTTTTATTACAAATTTATTTATCTATTTATTTGTCTTTTTCCTTTTTATCGGTACCGGGGATCAATTGCCTGCTTTAAAGGCAGGTGCTTATGCTGCTGAGCTAAATCCCCAACCCCTTATCACAAATTTAAATCTAAGTTATCCAAGGTTTACTAGAAAACACTATAAATTACTACTCAAACAGCAAATTCTGTTTAAACACAGGCAATTTAAAGCATGGCACTGTATAGAACAAAGGGCCCTGATAATCACCTACTCTCTAATATTCCCATGATGACAAGATGTTACAGCAACATCTATTATAAAACTGAACAGCCAGGCATGGTGGAGTGCACTTATAATCCCAGCATTTGGGAAGCTAAGGCTGGAGAACTGCCAGGAGTTCGTGGCCAACCTGCACTACATGAGTTCAAAGCCAGCCTGCACTGCATGGCGAGATCCTGTCTCAGAAAAACACAAAAAACTGAACAGACTTATTTTTAGTTAATCATTTTTTGTGCAATACAGTAAAATCTTCACCTAGAATTTGATTTACAACTTCTCAAAATATATCATTTATCCCCACGTGCAGTGGCATACACATTAAATCACAGCACTCTGGTAGGCTGAGGCAGCAAGGCTGCCAAGTTTGAGCTCAGCTGGGCAATTTAGCAGGATCCTGTCTCACAATAAAAAATAATACTGAAAAAAAAGGGTCATGTGTGTATCTCATGCACAGGCCTGGATTCCTTCCCAGGTACTGTGGAATACAAACAGCAGAATGGAAAAAAATAAAAGAAAGCTAGGCATCCTAAAATGCGTAACAATAAAGGCTAGCCCAGTACTAGGTGGGAGGTATTTTAATTAAAAAGTAGTCCATTAAAAACTATAGCATATGCCCAATAAGTTGATGAGATTTAGAATTCTGATTATAATCAATAAAATCTGATTCGTATTGTCTGTATAAAGTTTCCATTAATTTTATACTCAGGAGTGGCCCCTCCTCTTGCTTCTGCAGTATGCAGGGTTGAATCCAGCTGGGGCCCTCAACAAACTACATTCCCAGCCATGATTATATTTTTATTTTGACACAGGACATCGATAAACTGCTCATGCTGGCCTCAGACTTATAATCCTCCTTCTTAGCTTCCCCAGTAGCTGGCATTACCACTGCATGTGCCACTGCACTAAGCCCAGATTATTTCTTAACAAAGCAAATACTTCACTCATGAATCATGCAGATCCTACACAATGTAAGGAAAAACACTCAACCAATTATATCCTGCTTGTAACCACGTTGACAAATTATATATTAAATATAATTGATCACTACTGAGCAAAATACATGTATAATGACAAAAACCCCAAACCCCACTAATAGTCATAATCCAGCTCAGACTCATAGGTGCTTGCCTGGTTACCTGTGCAGAGCCATCACAGAATGGGGAGGGGCTGGAAGGGGAGCTTGATGGACAAACTACAAATTGATAGGGCCCTGGGGCCTGGATTAGAATTGAATCTGGAGATGGCTAAAATAAAACAAACACAAGGGTGGTACAGGAAATCCAAACCAATAATGGAAGCACACAGACTGTCAGCCAGCATACTGAATTAGAGAACCAGGAAAAAAGAGTTTTCTTCCATGGTTGTTTGTAGTACTGGAAATAGAAGCCAGGGGTACTCTAACACTGAGCTATAGTCCCATCATTTTTTCTTTTTAATTTTGAAACAAGGTCTTGCTAAATTGTGCAGCCTACCCTTGACCTTATGATGGTCTGCATCAGTCTCCTGAGTAGCTAGAAAGATAGGGTTCACCCACTATGCTTGGGCTACTAAGCCCTTTTTGAGTCAGTGTCTTCCTAAATTGCCCAGGCTGACCTTAAACTGGCAAAACTCCCACTTCAGTCCACAAATAGCTGGGATTACAGACGTGTTCCTGCACTTCTTTTACAAATATCTGGAAAGAAGGACACAACTGAAAAATGAGATTGTCAAAAAGATTAAAATACAATACCAGGCTTTGTGCCACATCTTTAATCCCAGCACGTGAGAGGCTGAGGCAGGAGAATTGCCATGAGTTCAACGTCAGCTTGACTTACACCATAAGATCCCTGTTTCAAAAAAACCAAGAAATAATAAAATAGAAGTTTGAAAAGAAGAAAAAAGGGCCAGGGATATAGCTCCATGGCATAGCACTTGCCTGGCAAGCACAACGTCATGAGTACAATTCCCAGTACCAAAAGAAAAAGAAAAAGAAAAAAGGTTTGGTGAGTGGTTTGGTGCTTGCCTAGTATGTGGGAGGCCTTTGGTTCAATCCCAATTCTGCCAAAAAAAAAAAAAAAAAAAAAAAAAGGAAAAGAAAAATCGTTTAAAAGATTGCTCAGTTAGTTAATGGTATAAATTATAAATACATCCAAGTGTCACACAACAGATGGGTGACACTTAACATTCCACTAAAATGACTTGCTTAATTTGATTATATGCTGGCAAAGAATGCCACTAAAAAGTAAAATGTACAGCAACAGAAAAAAGAAAAAGATACAAGTACATGTGAAAAGCAGAATGTTGTAAATACAATTTCACATGAAATGAGATCTCATAAGCAAGATAAGCACCAAGACTAAATTACCCAAAAAGTATTCACATCTTAGAGCTGACGTACCCTCCAAAATTCAATACCATACCTCTGAGCATGAGGAAAATATGGAAAAAATGCTCCCTTTGCCACAGTCCCAGAGAGTACTCACATCTCTTTAAGCCAGCTCATAGCACAAAGAGTACTGAAAAATCCTTGTTTAAGGAGTGCATGTACTTGAGAAGCAGAACAGAAGAAGAACACATGATGACAGCCAAGAAGCTGCAAAGATGAAGAATCCACACGAGGGTGGAGGACAAACTCCCACAACGTAAGTGGGAAAAGCTGGGCAACTTCTCCTCTACCTTTTTAAAGACCACAGGAAAGGAGAAATTTCCCAACCACATGCAAGGGGTATGTCACAATCTGATAGCAGTACTGTGTTGTATTATTCATATTTATACTCATTCAACAATACTAAGGCTGAAAATAACTGATCAAAGAAAGGAGGAAAAAAAAAAAGAATCACTATCCTAAACACTCCAAGGACTCAGCATTATGACATCCCTGTAATATTTATTATTACTTACTTCACTAACGTCTCGTTGCAATTTTGTGTTCATCTCTTCAGCCTTGATGAGATCCTTTCTAGCTGTGTCAAGATCTTCTTCCAGCTCTGACACATGGCTGGAAAGTGTAGCCAGGCGCTCCTTCATCTGACTCTGCTCTTTCGACTGTTTATCTATGACTTCTGGGAGCTCAATTATTTTGGCAAGGTCTTCCTCATGGCTTAGAAGCCAGCAGAAGATCTTTGATGGGTAAAATGGACACTCTTAAATAACTTCAGTGTACTACCAAATAAAATACTTTAGGGCATAGAGACTATCAAAATGGATTTATGCCATCTGTTGGATGAAAGGACTCTCACAATCACTTTAGCTGCAAGCAGGCCATTCCAGCAACAGCATTCAAACAGCATCACACACGAACCAAGAAGCATAAGAAATCAGCAACAGAACAAAGAGAGAGCTCAAGGACTTACCTTTCCATTAGTGCTTGGTGTATCTTCTTGTTATGGTTTATGTCAAGCACTCCATCTGTTAGTGTTTTATTCTGAGTATTCTGATCTTTAAGAATCATTAGCTACAATCAGAAATTGAGTATGAGACTACAATAACTTATGGAAGAGTAATGAGTAAAGACAGCAAAATTCCATTTGGAAAAACAGTTCTACAGTACTGAACATAGTATAAAAAAGACAGTACATGGCAAAGCTGTCCATCCTGAATAGAACCGGATTACTAGAAACAGAATGTACTCACTGCTTGACAAGGAATTTAGAGATTCTTGCAATCTGAAATAAAAGTCTAACCCCAAACTACGACAGGCTTCATACTGTTTAAAATAAAATAATTTCCCCTTTTCAGGACTAGGATGATGTCCCACAATTACTTCCTTGTGCTTGGCACCAAGTTCCTCTTCTAACAAACTGCACCTTTCCAGTGCTACTCGAAATCGCTCTTGCACCTGAAAAGTTGAGTTTTTATATGCATACGCACACTTTCTGTATAGTTATCCTGATATTGATGAAACGCATTTCATAAAGTACTTTCAATGTCTTTCATTGCTAATATTGTCAAGAAAATGTCCTTGTTAATGGCTTTAAATGTTAAGGCTGGGAAACTCTTGTTCCTAAATAAATGACCACTATCCAGTTCTTAATGGGAAGTCAATATTCACAAGTAATCAACTGAAGACTCACATTCCAGTTACTACTTGTTAATCAGACAGAACATTGCCTTTTAATAAAGAAGGTCTGTTTACAAGAATTCAAAAAGTTAACAAATGGTAAAGCTAAACAAATACATGCAAAGCCTGCCATGAACACAGCAAGTGTAAGAACCCAGAACCGCTAGCGTGGCTGATGTACCTTTTGGTCCAGGGCCTTGTGATGTTCAAATAAGGACGTCAGTGCTTTCAGAACTTCCATCTCAATGGACACACCTGCAGGACACTGCACCTGCTGTTTCACCATAGTCATCCTGAAAGAGTTCATGCCTGGAGACAAGGCACTCCAGATGTTCCAGGAGCAGCTCAAACCAGGCCAGAGGGGGCATGTAAAGAGCACCTTCAATTTCACATTCAAATCCTTTACAATCTCATGGTCAAACAAGTTCAAATTCCTTCAATTCAGTAGAGTTAGATAAGTTTCCCTCAATTGTATTAGAATGTCATGAATTCCCATCACTAATTTATTAGCAAGAAGGTCTCATGGGGGGCTGGGGATTTTTTGATCCCTCCCTCCCCAAGGTTACCCAGCAGGATGTGGACTCTGTCCAGTGGCTTCTATGCCCCCCCACCAATTAGTAGCTGACTAAGCCCAAGGCTACGAAGGTGGCATACCTTCCAGGGGCCAAGACAGCCTCTACTGACATACTGGGAATGGCCACTTGTCCTACCACTGCGGTACTAAGGTTTTCCCTATGTTCCTATATTTCTGTGTTTCAAGTGTTACTTGAAAGCTTCCTCAGGATCTGTTGAAAATCCCCTTCTATATTTGCAGCTACTGAGACTCTGGCACCACGCTACCCCAAGCCATTGGGCCTGCAGAACCAATGGCCCTCCTCTGCTTGTTCAGAACTCCGCAGTTCCAGACAAGCTGGGCCTCAGGGACACTGCGCCCACCTGCCCCTTGGAAGCTCCACAGCTCTTCAACCGCAGCCGGGTTAGGGTACTCACCACAGGCCGCAGTGCCTCAGGAGCCTGTGATCCCTCCCTGCTTGCAGAGATATTCAGTCCTCCATACAAAGGAAGGGGCTTCTGCAGGCACTCCAGATCTGCCCAGCTCCTCCTCTGCACACCAATGGCTAGGCGTGGCTGGGCTCGGGGGATAGTGTAGGCCCGCCCACCCGTCGGGAGCTCAGCAGACCTCCAAGTGCAGCTGGGATGGGGAGACGGATGTAGTGGTCTCTAACCCGCTGCTCCACTTCACTGCACCCGGAAGCCTGGGGCGTCCGGAACAGTCTGAGATTTAGGCAGAGTGTGCTGAGCACTTACCACAGGCCGAGGTGCCTCAGGAACCTGCAATCCCTCCCTGCTTGCAGAGATATTCAAGACCAATAAAACTTAAAACATTGTAAACATTACAGGACTTCCAAAGGAGATAATAGTCAAACCAGAATGGGCATCTTAGTGAATCTTATTGCCTTCAAAGTAGTTGCCTATACCCTCAAACTTGATACTATCATGCAGAATGGAACAGAGTCTAATCAGTCAAAACAAGATGGTGGGAGTATTACAGGACTTCAAAACAAGTTAATAGGGAAATCAAAAAAGTTACTATAATATATCCTGCTAATTTTTAAAATTTTTCCCCTTAATTAAAAAAACCATAAAAAATAACTAAATAATTTTTTTAATGAATATGGGAGAGATTGAGATAAAAGAGGACATACAATATAACAATACAGGTCAAAGCATGACTTTCAGCAACCTAGTGCTTCACCACCAAATAACCCGACTTAATAGTAGTTACCATAGTGTCTGTGTTTTTCCTTGAAATATTTGAATATAACTTCATACACTATAGCTTCAAATATTTCCATATCAAGAAGCCCAGAACAAAGCCTTTCCAATTAGTAAGTGAAAACTTTATAAGGCTTCAAGGCCACATAATGGGGAATCATGATTACCACATACTTTTATATATTTGAATAATTACTTACATCAGGGAAACTATTCGGTATTCACACATGCGAGATTGATTTATTTCACTCATGAATATGGTCTCAAGCTGTGCCCATTTATTGATAAATATCTCAGTGTGAAGTGTTATGTACTTTTAATGAACAATATTTTCTGTTATAATTTAAATGTACTGAATAAATATCAATTTTACTGCTTTTATGTTTCCTATATGCTTATAACTTGCGTGTTTTAACTTAAAAAAACGTAAAGGCCTCACCAACAATAATTTCTCCATTGGTGATTGTATCACAGGAAGGCATGATGGAACATGCCTATAATCTCAGCACATACAGGGCTGAGGCAGGAGGGTCACAAGCTCAAACCCTCTCTGGACAAGTCAGCAAGGCCATTTCAAAATTAAATGAAATAATTAAATTAAAGGCTAGGGAATTAGCTCAGCAGCATATTACCTGCCTGGCAAGTGCAAGGTTGTGAGTTCGATTCCCAGTACGAAGAAAGAAAGAAAGAAAGAAAGAAGACAGACAGACAGACAAAAAATACATTAGTTCAATGTTAAATTTGGGCTGGGGATATACCTTGGTAGCACAAGTGCTTGCCTGGCAAGCGTGAAGCTGTAAACTTGATCCCTAGTACTAAATCAATCAATCAATCAATATTATAAACTGCTGTGGAGGTAGTCCAGTGGTAGAGAAGCCCACTACTCAGCTCCCAGTACCAAGGTGTAGGGGAGATCACTTCCATTACTTCAGCCTTGAGGCTATTCTCACAGTCCTGCAGTACTGTTCAAAAAAAGGCTGCCTTACTAATTTCTAAACATGCTTTTAAAAAAAATACATTTCATTCAAATGTCAGCACAGTTTTTCTCCATTTGAATTTCTTGCCTTTTTAAACCTCCATACAGCAATAAGGGAGAGATTAAACTATCATCCTGTTATTTAACCAAAACCCTGAATGATTATATAGCTTGATATGAAAATTAACTTTATTTAAACATTACTTGTATGTTGTCCAAGTCCACATAGAAGCCAATTTTGAGTAAGAAGCAATTTTATTACTTTCCCATGAAAACAAGTGCCCAAAAGCTTTTGGCCACTTTAACATGTATGTTTAAGCATACAGGTTGAAAAAAAACAAGGAATACAGATTATAAAATAAATACTTTGAGACTTAGCCTTACTTGCCGATTACGATAAATAAATACGTGGGCAGGTACATAGACAAAATTGCTTATTCTAGTTGCATGCTGTTATTGTATATAATATGCTTATTTTTTACCTACAGGTCGATCTCATGCATTAACACCCCCCAATAAATCCTAAAATGCTTTTCCCTCTTTGCCATGACAATTCAACCTTTTGGTGAGCCATCTGGGCATCCTGCGACACGCTAGTTGGTAGCACTGCCACATCCTTACCTTGAAAAGGAACCATCTGTTCTCCCTGTGGGATGCCAGGCCAGCTAACTGCTCACCTCACAAACTGCTGCCATACTGGCTGTGCCTTTTGATGCTGGCAGTAATGGACACTTCACAGCATGGAACAAGTGCCAGTGTGGGAGGTGCCAGTGTATGCAGCTCCTTGAGCTTGAGAGGGGCTGAGGCCATCCTGAAGGAAAAGTAGGATACTATGAACTCTTCCCAGAGCAGGTAACTCAAGTGATGAATAAGTTCCTCGTTTATCAAGTGTTTAAAATGTAGAGGAAGTATATTCCTTTCTCCTTGCCTGTCTCTAGTGAGGAATGTAACCTGAAGGTATATCGATGCCAGTTCACAACCTCCTCCTTTTCTTTGCAGCCCTCAGGACCTACCTTCAAGTCTACAGGTTAGCAAACCTACTGAAAACTCTTTGAGGATGCACAATATTTCTCTAAGTTAGTTTCAATATTAATTTATATTTTTCAAGAGCACTGCAGTTTGTTTTTTTTTAGCACTGCAGTTCTGTAAAGAATGCCTCGAGTGACTATTTTACACATGGCTTAATTAATCTGAAAAGTAACACTGTGGCACTGATTTAGGCAGAAATGCCCAACACTTCCTGAGGCTGCTCATCTGGCACAAAATCACAGAAGAGGCCCATAAAACAAGACTCGCCTTGCACTGCATGCCTGTGCTGTGACAGAAATCACTTCTGCCCAGCACCCAGCAGGTCTGCTGAAGAGCAGCAACCTGACATGCAACAGTCACCCAATACTGTGTCCAACTGGGATACAGAAACACAATGCAGCTCTGACAGGATTCAAGAAACATTGACAAAACACTGGCCACCATTTAACAGATTCAGAAAGACCATGATTGAAAACTCAAGACTCAGCACACAAAAAATCAAGAAGAATGGTAGGCAGGTCCCCTTCCACTTAGGCTCTGACATGATCTTGGATGCAGGTAGCTCAACTTAGCAACTTAGCAAACAGGTAATTCCAGAATGAGTCAAAGGTCTGGATATAAAACTGTAACTGAAAGGTGTTTTACCAAGGATTTCCTCTCATGGCTCTACTATGCTTTAAAAAATGGAAATATGGCTTTAAAATGAGTAGTCTCCAAGTATCTGTGGCTACACTTACAGCATTTCCTGATATTCTGCAGACAAGCTGAAGGGACACAAAGGCTCTAGTGTTTAAGACTGTATAGCAAAGGCTAAAAGTAATAAATACAACTAAACTCAAAACTGCTTTTGATTCTCTCACGTAGCTTTCATAAGAAGAATGACTAGAGCAAACAACATAACACTGGTCAAAACAATAAAAAGAAAGGGCTTATTGTCAGCGAAGGAAGAGTCTGGACACACCCTGTCTCCATCCAACTCCACACAGCTCTCTCTCTGCTTGTCCAGGTCCTGTCCATCATGAGCTACTCACAAGTTTCTCAGGGGCCCATTTGAGTCTTTGGCACCCATCTTCACGTGTTCACAGTCCTCTAAGCCCTTCCTGTTTCTCTGTCAACCCTCCTCCCCCAGCTTCCCTGGTACAGCATGCTTCCTCCAGAGACCACGGTCTCCCTATTCCACGTCTCTATGTGGTGCTCCTCTTGCCCAAATTCATTGCCTTCTGCATGCTGAATGCACTCCCACAGCTTGAACTCTGACATCCCATCTCCTCATGAGGCTGTTTTGGCTTCCCCTTCCCTGGAAAACACAAGACTCTCACTGTAGGTATCATAACACTGCCAACATTTTACTGTACTTTCATGAATCTACTTGTAGTCTAATGCTTCCTAAGAAAAAGAACTTCTCCATCATTTTAAAAACTTAAATGCTGGCAAAGAACCTAGCAAAGTGCAAGTGTCCACAGTAAATATGCATGGAGTTAAATCAGCAATGTCCTATTTGAAAGCTAATATTACTGCATACAGTGTTAAAGTCTCATGTTCTATGGATTTATGTCTTGAAAACCAGTATGACAACAGCCCTTTATTAAATGGTTTACCCCTAACTTAACAAGCATCTATCTCAGAATGAATCAAATGCTAGACGTAAAACAAAAGAAAAGTATTTCATTAGGGATTTTCTCTTGGTAGTTCCACTAAGCTTTCATAAATAGGAGCATGAGCTTCATAATGAGTAGCCCACTTAATTCAAGTAACTTATGGAACAATAACAAAAAACTCTATGATATAGTGCTAAGTACTCACAACATGTAAACTGCAATAACTTTATATTTAGAATTTTACAGTTTTCAAAATATTTTCATATATTATCACATTTTATATTCAGCAAACCAGTAAGTCACATCTAACGACCTCATTTTAAAAGTTAAAACAAAGACCAGGGATCTGTGAAAGGTACAAAATTCACTCAGTCAATAAGTGGCTTGGGACTCAGAATCCAAGGCAGATGTTATTTTCAGGGGGAGACACAATGGTATCAGAAGGGAGTTACCACAGTGTGCTGGGAAAAGGGGGATGCTGAAGGATTTGCACAAGGATGCCAGGTATCTAGTAGACACTTATTTTTTTTTTAAAATATTGTGGCAGATGCTTTATGTTCTTTTAAAAATCTCCCGCAATATCAGAAAAAAGTGTCCTACTTTTATGCATGTCAAAAAATCTTAGAGGTGAAATATCTTGGCGAAGATCAGAAAGTTAGGCTGAGGACTCAAGACTTCAACAACGGGGAGGAGGGCAAGGAGTAAAGGGCAAAGAAGTAACAGAAAGGGGGGCTATTTTCTATCAACCTATGACTCCACTAATCAAAATGAAGAAAAAATTGCTGGGTGATCTCCAAAGGGATCTTGTGAATCTCGATACATATTCGATTCTAACATTTCACCTTTGTTTTTCTTTTCTTTTTCTTTTGCCTTAAAGTTAAGATGTATTCTTTCAAACTGCAATTAAGATAAATAACATAAAAAGTAAAATAAGTTGAGGCTTCAGTATCTGATCAGTCCTATGGGCACCTTGGGAGGTCCACGTGCATCTCCCCATAGGCCTGACTGTGGCCTTCAGACCTGGGCCTGAGTTTAGCCAAAGGAGAAGCACTTCAGCATAAGGTATGAGCGGAGAGAGAAGCATTCTCCAGGAGAGACAAGAGTTGGGGAGAAATGAGAAAAGTCAGAGTAGGAAGAAAGCCAGAGTTCAGATTTTGTCCCTTATTCCTCCAAATACACATATTCATAACAACTCTCAAAAGAGCGGGAAGGGCTGACACATTTCCTTTGGCTGGAACCACATGGGTAGCAAATACATGGCTGCCCCATGGGACAGTTTGTATCACTGGTGTTACAGACAGTCATAATACCTTTACCGGTCTTTTTACTAATAAAACTAATAAAAGGTCTATAAACGGACCAAATCTAGTTAATCTTTGAATCTGAATAATTACTGCCCAAATAAACAGTAATCAAAGCTCAACTAAATAGGTTATAATACTGATTTTAAAATTATATATTACTTACAAATGAAAATCCCAAAGAAAAATGAGAACCACTAAGGAACAACAAATAATAAAACAAAAGTTTACCACTGAGCTTAATCTAGCTGTGAAATGACCATGAACATTTTTTGGTATGATACTAAGAAGAGCATCTGCATCCACAGGTTAGCTATATATCAGAGGATCAGACTCAAATCAGAGCTAACCAGGAGCAGAACATACAAATTACAGCTCCTTTGAGAATGTGCTAAACTGGGAACAGTATGACCTAGGCCATCTGGATAGAAAGAGTGAAATACGTACGGTTGGGTAGGTGGGGGATTAGGTGC